ATTTGTAGAAGATTTAAGAGGAAAGACCACGACATAATGAACTAATTCATCACAATACCTGAAAACTCTGATTTTACTTTTTTGAAAAATGAAATGGTCTTTCCTTTTGCTCCCTATCAACAATCAAATATCTTTTCTTGAATTATGAATAACATGAAGGGATTGAAATATTTAATTAAATTATCTCAAAATAAACATTCATTTCGGTGCAAGATTGAAATTAGCCTGAATTCTTCATAACCTATGAATAGTTGGTGACCCAACGGGTCATGGGTTGTCTAGTTTAGACTAATTGTTTCTTATCTGTTTAACATGTACAAAGTTTTGTTTCTGGGAAGTTGGTATTTTGGATAGATCTGGAGCAGCCAAAGATGGTTTGTCTTCAAATAGAATATATTTGCATGACATGTATATTGTCATACATAAAAAATATACATATAAAACTTTAAAATGGTCAAACACCAATTATAACAGAAAGACTATTAAGATTTGAACAAATGTGCCAAGAGATTCCAGAATATGCCTTTTGATGTGCAAGCTTCATGTTTAAGGAACAGAATTCATCCATTTAATCAGTGGAAACATAGTGGTTCACGGTAATCACAAAAATATCAAACCCAATCAGATTATTCCATATTTGTCTAATATATATGGATAAATTATGAAAAACACACTAATAAGTAAATTATGGAATTTTTCAATAAACGTTGAATGTAATTTTTCTCTGTTACTTAATATACTGTTAATTTTGGTTCGCTTTGTCACAGTGCATTCTTGACAGTTGCACTTTCATATACAGTATAACTTTCATGAATATTTATATCTATGTATATTGAATAGCCACATGCTCTCTCCATCCAGAGCATGCATAATGTTGATCAAATGATAGACAATCGACAGCCTTGAAAGGAAAGATAACCATACATTTAGCCCAAACTGGGTAAGTTAACCAACATCTACATAATATGAATGAAAAGAAGCTGTATCTATTGGTTTTCTATCTACTCTTTTAGTTTTATGCTGCTAAATAGCATATTACAACTGATATCATTGTACCAGTTCAAACATACTTGTACACACATGTGTTTACATCAGGTAAAACCATTACTTCCCCACTCCTCTCCTGGAGGATTGGGAGGTAATTATCACAACCAGACCTGTTTCTAACCTGGAAAGCAAGAAAAACATTATTTAAAGTATTTCTGTTCTTTTCAATTGATTAGAACGTGGTGAAAGTCCTACTGAAGTATTCCTCTGTGAACAAGTCAACAAGTGCAGCTGTTGAAAAGTTAACTCCACTCATGATAGCCTCACAGCAAGGTTTTCTTCCAATAGTGAAGTTTCTTGTGGAGAATGGAAAGTGTCTGGTGGAAGTTGGAGGTATAGTTCTCATATTTTATTGCATTATTATGGGCTTACAGTATCTTGTAAACCTTTAAAACTTTTACAGGTAATTAATTACTTTTAGATAACGTTTATGAAAAGAAAATTAGTTTTTTTCATTGAAGCTTTGATAAGCACTAAAAATAGATCCAGTGTATAAATTCTCACTTGCAAACTTCTAGTAGAAATAAAGTTTTTGCTATTTTTATATTGGTTAGGTTTTTTAGTTCTTGAGTTCATGTGTAAAAGTTATATTTATAGTTAATTGCATCTGAAATTGTACTTTCTCATAATTTGATCAATGTTATTTGCTTTGTTCTTTTTTTTTTTCTCTAAGCTTTAGTATTTTGTATATTTAGTCACAACTGTTTTGAAATAATATATAGGTATATAAATTCTGCTATTACAAAACTGGGTGAAAAAAATCTTTCTTCATTTGAAAGTTATCTGTTATTTTCAGTCATTTCTGTGTGTGTTAAAGCGACAGAATCGTAAAGTCTGAGTTGTATAATGTAGGTGATTTTTTTTTACTGTGAACCATCTTGAAAGTAATGTTTAGTACAATCATGCATTACCTCATTTTTCACTGATTTAAAATTCTTTATAAAAGAAAATGTGTTATTTCTTACAGACAAGAGACACAGGACAGCTCTCACCCATGCTATTATTAATGGACATGCTCATGTTGCATCATACCTTCTGAGGATTGGAGCAGATCCTAACACTAAAGATAGTTCAGGAAATACGTTAGTTCACTATGCTGCTGCATATGGGTGGTACTTCTGCCTCAAATTGTTGGTTGTGGAAGCAAAAGCAGACCCTAATTTACCCAATGACTGGAAGGTATGTGATAGTGTAATACGTGATAATAGTAAAAATGTTATCTAAATGGGGCCTTTTTATATGTAAAACTTTGATGTGGTAAAAATCAGCACAAATGAATTATTCTTTTAATTTTTTTTTTTTTTAATTACACTATATTTCAGTCAGGCAAAAGCTCCTCTTCTGAATAGTGTTGATTATTTGGTGAAATGTGAATATTTTGAAAAGCCTCTAGTGTATAGGAATAAATATGAAATTAAAAATATTAAATATAAATAACTAAATCAAAATAAACTAAAAACAAATACAAATGTAACTGAAAATGGTTCAAACAAAAAATGACCAACTTATTTGCAAACATTTGTATTTCTGTGTATCCAACAAATACATCAGCAAATGATAGTCTCATTTTTGTGTACTGATGTCTTGTGTAAATTGTCTTGAACTGTTACAGAGTCTATTTCTTGTGATATTAATCAAATTTTGATTAAAAAAACGGATAGAATTATAAATGAAATTTTTGTGAAATACATTATTTTAGACTAGAACTTAAGAAGTAAGTGTGATTACAGTACCTAGTTTTGTTGAAAGTTGATTTGAAAAGAGAAAAATCACATCAAAACAAAGATTGAGGGGAAGGCTATTTTCTCTCAAAAACCATTATATACAGTTTCATATGTAAATTAGATGGGTGAGGATATATATATATGTTTATTTAAAGGAAATAATTCACAAAAGTTATCATGAGTTATGAAAAAAAAGATTTTTCCAAAATCAAATAATATAATTTTCTCTCTATATTAATATAACGTGCTTGGTTACCGAAAGATTTATAGTCCTTGCTGTAATAGCCCTTTGTTTTTGTTTTTACTACTAAAAATTAGAATGTGACATTGGCTTAATACTAGGATGTTATAACTTGTGTTTCTTAATTTAAATGAAGAAGCAAAGGCTTTTTTTAGTAAGTTTTTAAAAGTTACTAAAATTTTCCAGTATAATATTTTTTTTTTCCTGAACAAATATGCAAGTCACACAGCCTAAGTAATCAGAGATTTTGTTACTTTTCTTATAAGTTTACAATTAAGCTACTTTTAAAGTTGTTAAACTAATTAGTAAGCTTTACTTGCATTTGTAATATGTGCACAAGTCATGCTGTATGTTGGCTAGTTATAAATAATAATAATAATAATAATATCAGACTTTAGTCTGACATTAAGCAGCTCCTCTAATCAGCTGATGAAAACTTTGAGATAGCTGAAAGGAAAAAAAACTTTAACCTCTTCACAGTGGCTAATTTCCTGATGAAAGCCGTATTTGCTAGATTAGTAATAATAATATTTCTGCCTTTTCACCCTATAAAATATTACTTACAAATATTTGTATAATCTTTACATTTGAAAATGTCAAGGTGCAATTTCTTGTGTAACTTATACAAAATGGTTCTAAAACTGGTTATTCTAAAGTCATTAAATTTCGTTTATGCATAAGTGCAGGAACCCTGTACTTAGTTGTCTGCTGGTTAGCTTTCTTGTAGAATTTATTACAAATACCTTTCATTTAGTTGTTTTTTTCATTTCAGTGAAACTGTGAAGAAATGTGTTTTTTAATTTATATAGATCACTGCCAAAAATAATTTTTGTTAGTGGTTAACCAAAACTGGTTGTTCACCTTTTTTTTTTACCAAGTAAGTATGTGTATTATATATGAACATATATAGTGCTGTATTTGTTAAATATCATTTCATAATATTGAGTCTTACAATATTGTTAGCTTACTCCATTTGCTGTGGCATTCATGAAAGGACACATGGGTCTAGTTGATTTTCTGTTGAACTTACCAAATGTGGATGTCAATGTGTGGGTTGATGAGAAGGGTGAGTCGTTACATGTCTCTCTTAAAAACTTGTAATGCTCAGAATTTTTGAATGTGGTTTTTCAGTCATTAATTCATTCATCTAAGTCTAATTCTGATAAGGTTCTCTCCCTCCGCTCACAAGATTAGCTTTTCCCGTTTTGTGCTGCTCTCTATATGCAAACTTTTTTCGGAAACACATGCCAGAAGCCTTCATCCTCCCTCTGTTGAAATCCACAGTTCCAACACGTCTCTCATACAAATCATCATGCATCACCTCTCCAAGAGGAGAGCACTACTATCACGTGACGCATGTTACTCCTTCTACGCGGCACTACCTAACTGTCACTTCTCGTTTGGCAGCTGTCATGTTCACACATTCTTTTATACATTGTTCAATTATCTTAAGTGTTGTTTTTTTTTGTTTTGTTTTTTTCATTTTTATATTTACTTAAATTTATTTACTAAACTTCACAGTTCTGGAGTTAATATTTTAACATAGCATTACTACCTCATGTTTCTCGCTTATCAATTCCGAAGTTACAGTCACCACTTCAGGTAATTCGCCAGCATCTGATGCTGTATTTTCAGCCATGGGTGCAGGCAACCCATCAAGGGATATTTCCTCCCTTATTAGCTGGGAGATTGAGCAGTATATGAGCCAACCACTCTCATCTACTTCTGCCCCACTTCCTCCTGAGCTTTTCAAGCCAAGCCAGACTGAACACAATTTTGATAATCTGTTCCCCCTCCCCTGGAATTTGTTGTGTCTTCCGATTCATTACATGACGATTCAGCTTCTCTGTCATTGGTCTTTTCTGTCTTTATCTATCAGGTATGTGATGTTTTCTTAATTACACCTGTTTTCTATGACCCTAGACCTATCCTATTACATGAAACAACTTCCTAACCCTATTTAGTATTTACCCCATCCCCCAATATTAGGGTTCAAGCAGACTGATTTGCCTCTCAACTTGGTGAGGATGTTAATATGCCTCGTCCCCTATGGATTTCAGATCAGTCTGCCCTTGTTTATCATCAGGCAGACTTTCCCTTTCTCAACCAACAGTTGTTGAGGTTGGTTCTCCCATTTTGGGGGGTGAACCCAGATTACCCCTGTACAACTTACCCATTCCCAATTTTCTCCTCTTTGTCTCACCCTCATGATAAGGTACTTTTCTTTCTTTTCTGCTGAAATCCTCTCCATACTTGCTTCTACGTTGTTCAGTCTGTCTTCTTTGGCTCTTGTGCTACAAACATGGTTTGTTTGTTGTTGGGACCTCTGCATGCTGCCGTTTTCGCTGTGTTATGGACTTGGTTCCTGAGTCACGGGTGTCCTCGGCCCATCAACATTCTACCCTTACTAACTTTGTAGCTTGTTTGTCGCAGTTGGGATCGATTCCTGTACCACCGTTCTGCAGTGCCACGATTCAAAGATTTACTTGACGATGCACGTTCCACAAACATCAATACCAGTGACTAGGTGGTTGGTTCAGAACCAGTGGGGCTTGTCTTTTGAATTTTGTTCATCTGTGGGAACCTTTTCTCCAAGATTTCTGGGTTCACAAGGTGCTCTCGGAGGGATACATTATCCTCTTTCTCTCCATTCCTCCATTATCAAGTGTTCCCTTCCCTTTTCCTTGGGATCCCTCAACATGCCAGTGTCTGTCAAAGGTGGTTCAGGACAACAGACTATCGAACCAGCTACACCAAGTTCACAGGGATTTTACTCCCACCTGTTTGTGGTTTCCAAGAAGACTGGGGACTGGCATCCTGTCATCAATTTATCCCATCTCAATCAGTATGTTCACACTCCTTGCTTTCCCATGGAGACATACCTTTCTTTTTGGTGGGCATTTTCTCCAGGTCCTTGGATGACCAAGGTGAACATTTCCAACACTTACCTACACATTCCTGTGGCAAAGCATTTACATCCATATATTTGGTTTATCCATCAGGAGGTTGTGCACTAGTTTCTTGCCTTACCTTTCAGCCTACCCTTGGCACCATACGTCTTTTGTCATGTGGTCTGCTCCGTTGCTTGACATATTCATGCCATGGGGTTGTGCTTCCATGTTTATATGGATGACTGGCTTCTTCTTGCTCATTCTGACCAGAAATCGGCCAGTCAGACTCGTTGCCTCTTGGCCAAAGCTGCACTGGTTGGCTGGTTGGTCAAATTGGAGAAGTCTTTCCTTTGTCCTACCCAGTACATTATCCATTTAGGTGTTTTCTCAGCCTCCATTCTATGGAATGGACTGTTCAGAAAGCCTGTCTGTTCTCTCACTTACAGCTCATGAGGTTCTATTGCTTTTGAAAATGTGGTTCTCCATGACCTCATACTCCTGGGCAGAGCCCATATGCAGTTTCTTCAATGGGTCCTTCACAATCAGTAGAACCTTGCCCGGGATCCCTTGGATACTCCTGTACCCTTACCATCATCCCTTGTAGACGATCTCCATTGGTAGTTGAACAGGGCCCGCACATTGGCAGGGGTACCACTTCCTCCTCTGTGGCCAGGCTTACGTCTGTTCACAGATGCATCCCTTTATGGCTGGGGTGCCTGGGTGGATCACCAGGAGGTTTCGGGTCATTGGTCTATGGAAGAGATTTCTCTTCACATCATTGTTCGGCTGTGACATGTGGTAAATCTTCATTAATGCTTTATTTTCTTTGATGGGCCCCTGCTTCAGCTTCAATTTGGATCCTGCTCTGTTGCGAGTGGTGCCAGACCAGGTATTCTGTCTGTGCTCAGAATGGGTTCCACTTAGATGGCTATAACCATTCGCAGACATCTTGGTTGCAGGGGTTTAGTGCATGCGATGGACTTTCCTCGTATTCCAGATGACACATCCTAGGATCCCTGGCATTAGGCTACCCTATGAGTTCCTGGATTATGATGTTAGATTCACTCTTGACTCTGAGACTTGAGGTGAGGATGGTATGATCCTCATCCTACCCTCGCGAGGATATCGTTACCCAGCGAGTGAGGTTTTGGATGTAGTTGATTTACTGAGTATGGTCCATCATGTCCTAGCCACTCTACACCATGGGACATATCCTCACTTGCCCACTTCTATCGTTGGATTGAGTGATTCTAATCACATCATTACACTATCCTCTCCCACGTTTATGTGCTCCCTTTAATGTTCCGCCATGTATGGTCCTTCTGATCATGTCGATGTTCATGCCAAAGAGATACCTGGCTCAGATGTGGTGCGGTACCCCTTCTCAGATCATCTGATCTCATCCTTTTATTTCAGGGGTGTCTTCTGGATGCTTCTGGGGGATACACCTGTGCTTCTTGCATCAGTCAATCCTCCAAGATAAGGGAGAGTACCTTATCGGAAGTTATAATTTTCCTAAATGAAAATGTTCTTCCCTCTTCTCACCCATCCTGCCCACAATCTTCTGTTGCTTGCGTCTTCTGCCAAACATCGAAGTGGTAGTTAGGTAGAGGTGCTTAGAAGAAGTAACATGTGTCGCGTGATAGTAGTGCTCTCCTATTGGTGGAGAGGTGATGCATGATGATTTGCACGAGAGACGTGTTGGAACTGTAGATTCCAAAAGAGGGAGGAGGAAGGCTTGTGGCATGCATTTCTGAAAAAGTTCACATATAGAGAAAAGCAAATCTTGTGAGAAGAAGGAACTACCTATTGGAAAGACATTTTCATTAAGGAAAATTATAACTGTAGTATATATTCAGAATAATGTCCATTATTCTCATACCCAAAAACGTTTTTTTATATTTTGGTAAATTTTGTCTCAGTTTAGTATTACAGAGGTTGAGTGCATCACGTTAAAATGATTTTGGAGCCTCACCACATCCTTACAATCATTGTTGCTATGTCTGGGCATAGTTTATATTATGTATTGGCAGCTTAACAATAGATAGCTCTGCAGTGTAATTTCCACTGCAAAAGACTTTATTGTAAACTTATCATGTCCGAAGGACACTTCCCTTCCTGAAGCTTTCTATAATCCATCTATTGTATGAGAATGATGGTTTCTCAGCACCCATTTAAACGATCTGATCATACAGAAAGCTATAGGTGCTGTCTCTTTCAACTTGACCTGTACGTCTTTGTATGGAGTAGCATGAATACTGGTTTTGTTATTTAGCTGCTTGCAGTAAGCAACAGTTGAACAGATGTGTCATGGAAACAACTTGCGTACATGCGACTTTTCTCACTTTCCCAGACAGAAATCTTTCTTGAATGGTTGTGAATTTTTCTGGAACACAAATGACTTTTACCACTGACCTTTGTGTTTGTGTGTCCTCACCTGTTACAAGAATGCTACACCTTGCTTACCATGGGTAGGAATTTTTCTAGGTCTCTTTCTGGATAGTCTTGGTGACCTAAATTATTACATATTAATTTGTTTTCCAGTGTCAGTAAGTACAAGGGATACCCTCATCTTGGAAGTTTAAATCCCCTATCTGAACACATCTTATGTGTCAATGTATGAAATTTTACATCAGAAATGGCTGCAATGAAACTTCACCAAGAGCAATCAATGTTTGAATGCATCACACTTCCTACAAAATTACAAGCAATGCAAAATTTAACTCTGATCCATGCCATTCCATTGAGAGTTTATATTGCCTGTGATTGTCAGGTAATTTGCTGATTTGGATATTCAAAATCATTTTAATATAATGTTCCCAATTTTCTGTACATAGTCTCATGAGCATAGCTAATAAATTGTAGTAGGTAGAGCTAAATTGTAAACACTTTAGATGCATGTGCTTTAATATATACTTGAGACAACTATAAACTCTGATAAATACCTAAATCTTAAAAATTACAAGTCTTCATTATTTGAGTTCAAAATTGTAAACAAATATTAGTTTTTACTGAAAAATTAATTTAATTCATAATTTAAAAAATTATTAAAATCAAATCAAAATTTTTTCAGAAAAAGGTTTAATTTTCTTTGGTTTTGTAGCAGTTAAATAAAAATGAAATTTGAACTATCCATTTATATTGTATCTATCACAATTTGAATTAGTTACTTATGCTTCAAATTCAGATTTTCTCATTTTTAATTACATTAACACAATTGTACAATTTGTGTATATTTTAAAATACTGTTACTGGGATGGAAAATTAGTCTTACATATAATTTGAGATATTTTACAATTTTTACCTATTAAAAGTAATAATATTAAACCCCTTAAAGAAGAATTAGTATTTAAATGATTATTTAACAATTATGTAGTAATCATAATTAAAGCCATTATTTTTTTCTCTCTTTAATCCAAGAATTAAGCAAATGTAAAAATAACCATTTAAAAGTAATTTCTATAATCAGGTTGATGTTATCTTACAAAAAGATATCTTACATATAAGGTTGAAGAGAATAACTAAGATGTTCTATATATCTGAATTGAAGTTTTGTGCGCTTCAAGACATTTAATTTGTTTTATTAATCCTTTGAATGTGTAATTAAATTTTGGATGGATTCTTGAAAGGTTTCAATTATCCACTAAAAAAAAAATTTAGAATTAGATTTTTTTTAGTACTTTTTACTTTTCAATATCAAAATTTACTAGTTGCACTTTTGCTCGGTGATGTATGCATGTGTTGTTTGTGACACCATAGGGTAAATCTGCTTGTTGCACCAAACAGCTATAAATGTCAAGTTGGATAAATCTGATTATAGCATCCAAAGGGTTAAGCCTAGAGGCAATGTTCTAAAAGATTCATTAAAATATTTTATATTCTTACAGATCAGATGGTGTTTTAGTTAAAATCAGTATACCTATTGCTTTGTTCATACTCACAATTTATTCATGGAAATTACTATTTACATTTTAAACTTTTAAGTTTATTATGATAAGAAGTTGTCTTGTGAAATGCTAAATAAAAGTAACTGAATTCCTTTTTTTGTTATACCAGATATGACTCTAGTGATGCACACAATATGTTCTAAGATCAGTATGACTCAGCTTCAAAGACTTAATTTTTTATTAGTGAAGTACAAGAGTGATTGTAGAAAGAAGGATGTTTTTGGAAATAATGCTGTAAGTATTGTGTTTTTAAACGTTTTTAATTTTTCTTCAAGTAGCAAGAATGGGTTAAAAAAAGAGAAGATTTGCTTAATTAGAATATAGCTTGCAGAAAACAAAATAAATTTAAGTTGTAAATTTTTCCTGTAAAACTACTGTCTTTGAATCGCTGTGTTCTTTGGCTCTAGATCATTTGGCAAACTAGCTTTATTAATATTTCTTATCAGAAAGGCTTTTTTTTTATTCCTCTAACCCAGTGTGGCTTGTGAATTAATTTCAGAAATGAAAAATTTAAAATGTTGAAGTTAAAAATAATATTACCCAAAAATTTTAATATTAATATTTTTTATTACTTAAAACATAAAATATATATTTATTCAATAGAATATAAATCATATAGTTATCATATGGCTTGTGGCCCATGCAGGGTTTGTGCTTCTTAAATTGGCTCTCATCCAAAAAAAAGTTGCTAATCACTACTCTAGACACTAGTTACCCATGACAACATTGTATTATTGAATGTTCAGGAGTCCACCATGAATCAAATATTTAGGAGCTTGGCATGATCTTCATGTTAACATGACTTACATATGCAACAGCATGTTTTTTTTTCAGCAAATACAGATCATTTAGACAAAGTGACATTAACCCTCTATGTTAGCAGTTAATATTAACTTCTAATCAGAGCAGGCTACCCACTTAGATCAAAAATAAACATGATCCCGGTAATTGGTATAGCTAACTAAATATATTGTTATTATTTATGAAGGCTAAAATGCATCATTTCATCAGTTGGGTACCCTCACTGTTCATGATATTTTTGGCAAGCTTAGGAAACTTAGTTTAGTACAAAATTCATATGCAAAATAATCTCAATAATTAAAATATAATAATAATAATAGATATATTAAACATTCTAACCAATACTTTGAATGGAAGTAACGTTAAAGAAGTAATGGAATAAGTACCTTAATAAATCAGTGGTAAGCCTGCAGGTTTATGGTGCTAAAAATCAGGTTTTGAAATTCATGGTGGGCAATACACAGATAGCCTACTGTGTAGTCATGTGATCAACAACAACCAAATAATAATATAGTATACCATAGAGAGGTGTAATATCTGATATAGATTAGTATGAATGTTTAGCTATAGAGTCAAATAGTATGACAGTACTAATAGTGTATCTAAAAGCTAATGTTTGTGAAACTGTAATGTAATACATAATAATTAAATGAGTACCTGAATTGTACAGTGTATATATAGATAGAATATCAACACTAATTAAAATGTAATCAAATTGAATGTAATAAAAATAAATATACTAAACACAACATAAGGTATATCTAACACAACTACTCCAACTTTAACTGTCACATGGAGCAGGCAGCAAGAAGTAATAAATACAGTTAAATCCTTAGAACCAGCTGAAAAGTAAATGTGATTAAGTTTGACATAATTCAATAAAAGTAATGAGACTTAGAAAAGGAAGTAACAACAAAGGTAAATATAACAATAATGTAATTAGCAAAACATAATTATTGGAACTTAACTAAAATATAGGGAAGCGTTATGTAGCTTATATTAACAATTATTTGTAATAAGAGTTAAACTAATGGTAGTCAATACACTAGAGCAGTTCAGTATTACCTAAAACAATTTCTTAGAAATTAAAATCTAGATCTGTAGGTTTTAAAAAGATTGTGATATTATATATTTGTCTTCAAAATATGGTAGGAGAAACCTCATATATGAAAAATGAGAGTGAGTTTACATACTCTGCCCACAAAATCTATTATATTTAATAAACTGTGAGTAGTAAATACTATAACATAATTTATTTGGAATATCTTTGTTTGTAAATGAAAATTTATAACTACAAAATTAAAAGTATCCATTTTATTGAAATCTTTGAACTTAAATGTTTGCTCATCAATGCTGATATCTTCATTTTTAGTGAGAGAGCTTATTTTTAGAGTGAGTTCTGGTGGATAAATTAATTTTGCTGTGTCAAAAAAATCCTTGATAATTAGGTATAGAAAAAAAATCAATATATCTACATATATCAATATATCTGTAAAGCTTTAAAATTCAGGTTTCCGTTATGCAATTTTTTAGATTAATAAATATTATCTATTGTTTACACACTTTGAAAAATAATATTTTGGTTTTGTTTTGCTAAGAATTCTACATTTTAAACAACAATATCTTGCTCTTAAAAATGTTTGAGAGAACTAGTGAGGACAGGTTTTGTTCACAGAATATTCATTTTATTGTTTTGTTAAATAATATTCAAGGTTATATTAAAAGCTATTGATTCTAATTTTGTGAATTAATCAAGTTAAAGATTATAATTCTTTTTTGACAGCTTCATCACTTAGTTCTTCAGGAAGCTGATGAAATGAATACAGTAAGATGTTACCAAGAAGATAAAAAGGTAATTGAATTCATTTTTTATATAACAAAACATGTAGTACAAAGACATTTGTAAAAAATGAACCATTTGTGTTTCTAGTTAGATGATTTGACTGCTTTTTTCTTATCATAGCTTCTTTGTTTTGCTCATGTATTCATTAAATATTTTGCATGGTTTGGAAGGTTACTGTGCACAATTGTTAACTAGTTTTAAATGTTTGAAAAGAAAAACATAATACCACTAAATATGTTTCTTAGTTATAATTCCTTTGAAATGTGAACATGTCATAGAAATTTTGTAATTTTTTTCTGAGATAACATGAAATATCTGTATTATCTTGATTTTCAGTCATGCCAACTGAAATATAGTAACTTTCACTTTGATAGTTTTTTTAAAACTGTGTGATGCTGGATTGCATTATTATGTTAAAGCACCTAATAATAAAATGTACACTAATAAAACCTTTCCAAAAGTACTTATATGTCTGTAGTGAAATAATATAAGTTCATAATATATTTCTGTAAATTTCTATTTGTGTGAGAACATGTCCTTGACCAAATTTTGTGAAAGCAAATAGTTGTTTTTTATGAGGTGCTACTAGTATCAATCTTTTATAAACTTGAAGAGAAAAAGAAAACTAACAAAAGAATGTTTTTATACCCTTGTCCTTCTTTAGTGTATGTGTGTGTTCTGTCACCTGTTTGTTTAAAATATCTGTTCAGACATCTTTGACTTTTAGCTAAAATTAAGAGTCAAAGTGTTTTAGTTATCTCTTAATCTTCACTCTCATTGATTTGGGAGGTGATGAATATATGTGTGTTTCTTTTGCTAAGTACTTTTGGTTCATGATAATATACCATAGATGTTCATGTTATCCAACTTCTCTTGCTTCTGGGTGATAGAAGATCATAGCCAAGTCATATCAAAAGTTTGCATTTGTTAGATGAGATTCACTTTTGTTTTTGTTCAAATGCTAGATAACATTTTCTTCCTTTCTCATTTTAGTTTTCAGGTCTGCTGATTCATTTGTTATTGTAAAACTAGGTGTCCTCTTCCAATTGTTGCAGGTATTTCAAATTTCTTTTTGTGGCATTCTTTAAATTCTTGTCAGTTTTGAAATTTTTATCTTCTTGTGATTTATACAGGACTTTTTCTTTTCAGCTAATAATTTTGAACTTCTGTCAGCGGATTTCTGACTTTGTAACCACTGTTTTTTGTTATTATTTTTTGTTGTTGTTGGAAAGGTATTTTCGAAAGTCTGTTTCCTTTTGTAGAAAGGACTGGAATGTAGATCTGTATTTGTCCATTTATAGTATGATGTTGTGAGATTTATCTTGCAGATCTGTATTTGTTGGTATATAGTTTAATGTTGTGATTTTCATCATGCAGATATATATTGGTCTTTTCATAGTGTAATGTTCTGACATTTATCTTGCAGACATGTACATGTCAATGTATAGTGTAATATGATGTTTATCATACTAGTAGGTAGAGAATTTTACTGGTCTGTATTGTCAATATGTAGTATAATGTTGTGACATTCATTATTCTGTAGGTTCAGAACTCACATGACCAGCTTGTAAAAAAGATAGCCAAATTACTATTATTTCATGGTTGTGATCCTAAAGAAAAGAACAAAACAGGAGAATCTGCCTTTACTCTGGCTGTCAAAAAGGTAAAAAAAAGTACTGTAATAACAGGGAATAAACCTTTCATTGAGTTTTATTGATGTATTGCAGCAGTTACACATAACAACATTCAAAGAGTTAAAGTATTTTAAGCAGTTAATGTGAATTTTAGCTGTTTGATATATAGCACAGCATGAATAGAATACAAGTTGAAAGGTTTTTAGAATAGTTCAAGATATCAAATTTCATTACTAACTTTCATACTTTTTTTTAATTGAGTGATCTCTTTAAAAAGATTTAAACCATTATTTTGTGAATTTCATATATTATTGAGAATTTCACCCACATTTGTGCTACGATTACAAGAAACATCAGGTAAAACTGTGTTAAAACCACCAGAAAAAACTGTGTTCTTTAAAACCCTAGGTACAAGTGTTTTACCATAGTGTGAGTCTCTGTGTTACTACTGCCTCTTCCATGAAAAAATCCACAAACATGTAGGATGTCTCAATGTCAAAACTGAAATATTTTCTCAGAATTAGTGAAAATCGCATCTTTCAGTTTATTCATCACAATTAACTTTATATTCTTAACATGAAGATAAAATCCTTTGTTTCCATGTTCACATTGTTTTCTTCATATTTCCTTCATGTCTTTCTGTTCTTTATTACCATTCTCTGTGTGGTTGCTTCATTTATTTTAATTTGTTTAAAACATGTGTGAAGGACTCGATATAATATTTTCAACACGCATGTATTGCCACGCATGTATATTTGATTACATATATATATATATTGCCATATACCTATGCTGCCATTACATTTCATCAACTATTTTAGTAGTTTACCTAGCTTGGTTCTAACTACTACATGAACAACTTCAGTATTGTTAGAGTAATTCTCTCAAAACATTAGATAGAGTTTCACATCAAAAAATTCACTCTATGCCTTGGAAAGCAAGGGGGTCAAAATGCCCTTTCAATCACATGATCAACTTAAGTGTTGATAATCGAATGACACTTCTACAATGTAGCATATAAATCATACCACAATATCGCTTGACAACTTGGAAAGCAAGGAATGCCACATCCTTTCAGATCAGCAGCTTTCCTAACTCCCAATAACTGAGTTGGATATCTGCCTGGTAGTTCAGAAAGCAAGGAGTGCTATTTTCTTTCAATCATTAGTTGCAAAAATTAATGACTTCTTAGTTTTGATTATCAAGCAGTCTTCTGACTCATGAGTTTTCTCACCTGACACCTAGTCAAGCCAATACCCCAAGAGTTCATCTATGATGTATGAATGCAGCTTTTCAATGTGTTCTACATACTTTCCCATGCTTAGCATCTGCTGTAGCTCATATGTTAGAGGACCAGCTTGTCAAATTATCGGGTATGAAGTTGCTGTACAGCTAGCATGTATCACAACGACACTAAATAAGTCACTTCACTGTAACATCCAAGTTACTGTTGGGCAAATTCAAGTGCATTGACCATCGTTGATACTCTTTGGGACACTGTAGGACTTTTTCTCATAGTAGAAGATTCTACAATAGATCCAAAGGAAGTAACACTTCCCATCTAAGCATGAACATGTTCAGCAAACAGCCTATTGATCCCTGTTCCAATACTTTATATGCCATCATTACATATGACAATCATTTTTCCCAGTAAGTTCTTTTGGAAATAGCAAACTTTGCAAATATTCCGTTAAGCCATCAGAATGGGGGTGATAAGGTGAAGTATGATTCTTCACCACATTTAACACTTTACACACCTCAGCAAACAGTTGACTATTGAAGTTAGCTCCCTGGTCCATGTGAATTTCTTCTGGTACTCTGAATCATGCTATCTTGTTCTTGACTAACACATCCATGATAGTCTCAGCTTGTATATCAGCAAACAGATACGATTCAGCTCACTTTGTGAAGTAGTCAATGACAATGAATATGTATTGATGTCCTCTTGCAGTCTCTGGCAGTAGACAAGCTATATTCAAGACAATTCTATGCAAAGGAAGCCCAACAATTCTCTTTAGTTTACCATGTTTTAGCCAGTGTTTCTTCTGGGTGGCACACATTTTGACTTACTCATAGCCAGAAGATCTACTGTTTAATTTTAGCACATAAAGTGGGGTATATTGTGATGTTCTCCAGTCTTTGTGTTGTGCAAAGTCCAGAGTATTTCTAGCTGTAGAACACAGCTATAGCACTGTTGGAGCACCGTGCCTTGCAAACTTGCAACTGCTTATAAAGATGTCACAGGTTATGTATGTCTATTTTATGCTCCTCTGCTAGTACCAGCTGGGCTTAATCTTGCTAGATAGCAAGGAACATCCACACTAGGTCAAGGTCATTCAATTTCTCATCCCAGAGCTTCTGAAGCATTAACTTTCGTATCCATCCTTTGATGGATTCATCTGCTTCATGGTCAACTTTCACTATGGAAGAAACAGCCACAGTTCCAAGTTCCACATGGTGTCCAGGATCAGAACATTTCACAAACAAACAAAATTTCACCATATGGCATGATGATCCATCCACATTTTTATGTTGTGTACCTAGCCAATGAACTATGAAGAAGTTATATGCTTGTAGAATTGTTATCCAACATGCTATCATCAGTTCCAGACTTATAAAATTTCAAAGAAACATTGTCCACCATGATGGTAAACTTTCTACAATATAAAAGTAGTGGTGATAGTGTTTCATGAAGCAACCACTACAAGCAGCTCTTTCTTCACCATACAGTATTTGCATTCAGGAGCTTTAAGCATATGACTAGCTTATGTGATTACATATTCTACTCGGTCATGCAGTTATGATAACACTGCTTTGTCTCCATTTTCACTGGCTTCTGTGTCTAAGAGAAACTCGTGGTCCTGATGGGAATAAGCCAGCACTAAAGCAACCTTAAGGGATCAGAATGCTTGCTTACAGTCTTCTCTCCATCCAAAGTACTCTTTCACTTTCTTGAGAGCCAATAGGGGCGCTGTTATATTCAAGAAGTTGATCACAAATTGTCAGTAGTGTGACATAAAACCAAGGAAAAATTATTAATTAGTAAAAGTATATTATTAAAATATTTATGAAAATATTATTATCAGATACTATAATTACCAACTAGTATAATCATATGTTCTGGCTGGTATTCTGCTGCTGTCTTCATGGAAGTCCTGAGAAAAACTGTGTTTGTGGTGATAGTGGCCAAGATTCATACCTGGGTCTTCTTGGTAGAAAACCTTTGTGGTGGTGTGCTGTCCACTCAATTTGGGTCCCCTCTGGAACTTGATTCAACTGTTTGAATCCTTTCAAGAAGGGATTCCAGGTTTTGCCGACTTCATATGCTAGGTTGACTGAGTGTGTTATCAGTAGGTGGTTGTATAAAGCTTCTTTTATCCTAGTTGTATGGTCTTCCTCTCTGACATAATGGGTTCTTGTAGATCAGTTGGCATTACCAAGTCTTGTGTGTCTGCTGTGCTCTTGCATTTGAACTTTGTTGGTCTGTTTGCTTCTACAATGTATTGGACTCCATATTCACAGGAAATGGTGTAAGTGGTATTTTTGCTCTCTGTTAGTTGGTTGTTATGTAGTAACTGCAATCTTACTGTGATGTATTTAAACTGTTATACTTTGTTGTTTAAATATACTCTGTATGTTTTAAAAGAGATCTTTGACAAGGGGCATTCAGGGTAATATGGATATGTTTCTGTAATTTTCTTCCTGCTAATTCTTAATGTTTTATTTTCTTTATTTCCTGTGTCAAGTTTTCAGGGTATTCATTGTTAATGAGGGTTGTAGTGATCTGGTTTCTTCTTCTACATTAACAAATTTTGTTCAGCCAGAAAACTAAGTGGTTAATGATACCCATTTTTACACTGTTGGAGATGTTTAATTTGTAATCAAAGTTTTTACTAGTTTCCTATAAACTCTGGCTCAGAATGGCCAGGCTGCTTGTCTTGCAATCTGAAGGTTGCAGGTTAGAATCTCCGTACCACTAAACATGCTCACTCTTTCAGCCATGGGGGCATTATAATGTGACGGTCAATCCCACTATTCAATGGTAAAAGAGTAGCCCAAGAGTTGGCAGTAGGTGGTGATGACTAGCTGCCTTCCCTTTAGTCTTTCACTGCTAAATTAGGGATGGCTAGCACAGATAGCCCTCGTGTAGCTTTGCACAAAATTCAAAACAAACCAAACCTGTAAACCCTTGTGATATTGTGGTTTATGAGCTATATGTCTTGGTAAGCATCAAATCTAGGAATGTTGATCAAATAACATTTGTGCAACTTGAAGTCTAGTAAGATCCCAGTAATTGCAGATTCTGGATTATTTGCATTAAGTATATCAGGTACTTATTATACGCATTATTGTAATTGGTAAGTTTTAATCGGTTAATTCTAGGTTCATGTGTGAGTGTAGTCCAAGGTAATGAAGAATTGCCCATTATATTCACATTAAAAAAAAGAATAGAGTGAAAATGTACATTTAATTTTTAGTTTTTTGATACTCATCTATTTGCCTGGGATAATAAACAAGTATGTCAATGATATGTAGTTATTTTAGTCTTAAGTCCTATTGTTGTTAATTACTTTAAAAACAAGGTTTAATAATGTTGAATCATTTGTAAACATACTGGGAGGCAAAGAAACTGCTGAATTCAGAGAAATCATTGTCAGCATTATTTGTATACAGACACAAAAAATATATTTAAAAAACACAAAGAAGGCCTAAGACAAAGTTTAAGAAAGAAATAAAATACTAGGTATGATGGTAATAAAATCTAGGAAAACTTTGACATTTAGGCCTTAAACTCTTCTTCAGGTGATGTTTGTTACAGTGAAACCAAGTTTTATATCCTCCTATTGTTACCTTCAAGTAATATTCAAATGTGCTCTGTGTATTCATTGAACTATGTTTTGCATGTTCTTCTGTTGTTACCTTTTTAGTGATATTCAAATGTGCTCTGTGTAATTGATTTTAACAAACTTCACCTGAAGAAGAGTTTAAGCCCAAAATGTTGTATCAACTTAATTTTATTACAATCATATCTAGGTTTTGTCTTTCTTAAACTTAGCATTATTTCCTAGTTAATTAGTACTGGCAAAATAATGAAAGAACCAAAAGCTGATATAAAAAGCTTTAAAGCATAAAACATGATGCATAAAATTAAAATATATTTTATTAAGAAAAAGTGTAGCTAAATGATGACTAAAATAACAGTATGAGGTTTCGAGGTGAGAAATTAAGCCTGAATCAGCTAAAACAATGTTGTTCAAGTTTAGTTTGAGATTTTTTGCTCACTTTTAAAATTTATTATTACTGAAATTATTGGGTATATTATTAGAAATATCATTGTTTGTCTTAGGTTTCTTAAAAAAATTGTGTTGTGATCTCTCAGAAATGGTTTAAATAGCTCAGTTGCCATTTCCTTCTCATAATGAAAGTCTTAATTGGAAAATGTAATAGTTAATTTTGAACTAAAAGACTGATGTTGACTTCTGGGACTTGTTAAAAGTAATTAACTCCAAAGTAGTGATTTAACTAGGATTTCAGTTGTTATTAAATGTTCTTTTAAAATGGTTTTTAGGGATGCCTTGTTTTAGCAAAAGAATTTTTAGACCATGGATGTGAATTGACATTAGAGGAAGATGCAGTCGGAGATACATTACTACACTCATTTATCCAGCAGGCTTTAGACAAAGATGTTTTACCATTGTTGAAAGCTTTTCTTAATGCAGTGAGTATACAAGTGTTTAGTCATTAAACAACCAACAGACAAAAACATTTCTATTTCTAGAGTAATCTTTATTAACACAGTAAATGTTTATGTTTATTCATTAACTCTCTCAACACGGGCTCGGTCAATTTGACTGACCACATGACCTATTTGTACTCATTTAAAGTCTTTATAGTGTTGATACTACTAACTTTTAGTATAGTATGTATATCTTCACAAATTCTGGCAGACTTTCAGTAAACATACAAAACATAATATTTTTTAATGAAGTATTTTTAATAAACTTAAAAAAGATTTGTCTGTGAATATATCGAGTATTTGTTTTGACTGGTCTGTGTGCAAAGTGATTTTCATGTTAAGATTATAAATATCTCATCTCGAAAATCTCAAATTTCATTTGTGTAATCTCTAAAATGTCCTAAATACATTTCAACTGTTTGTTTTCAGTAAAACTTTATATTTTATCTGTTATTTTCTCTACTCTAACTCTATACAAGGTCAGTCAAATTGACCAACCTTGTAACCACGAAAAAAAAATCTAAATAAATATATATTATCCTTTTTGTCTTCCTAGAAGGACTTCAAATTGTAATATAAAACTACATTCGTTTGTCCTAAGTAGCTGTAAACTCGTAACAGTATACATCTATTTATAATTTAATTCTATTATTTTATTGCCCTTTCATTGACCTTTGAACTATGCCTAACCATTTGTGCCATTATAAGTTGTAAATAACTTGGGGAATATGGAGCTTGTGTTACTCTGTTGAATTACGTTACTCGTGAACTGCTCAAGTATGTGCCTCATGAAATATTTTTATTATATTATTATTATTATTTGTTTTACCTTATCTAACCTAAAGAGATACATATTTTTACATTTTAGCTACTTTTATAATAATAAATAAATAATAAACATGAAAAACAAGAAATAAAATACTTACCCAAGTCTCCTTTTTTTTTTTAGTTGACTGTCAATGACACTTAACCCTACTTAGAATAATAATATGCAAAAGGCAAACAATGGCCTCTAACTATCACAATTTTTTCTGGCTTTCTAACTATGTGACAAGAGCAGTTACAAATTCATCCAAGCCAGTCGTTATCTTTCCCATGAAGCTTGTACTAAAAGAGAAATTGACAATACTCTGTTCAGAATACAATTTAATATAAAACATCATTTGATAGATGAAAACCTTGGCTTTCTGTTGGTTATAGATAATATAGAATTAAATGTAAGAGAGAACTATTAACAAATCCTGAAAGAAAGGATGGGTGTGGAAAGAGGTGTTTGATTTTATATTTGATAGCTTTGTAACCAAACAAAATTGAAGGCTATAAAAATTATGGTTTGTCTGATCAATGCTAATTTTATAGTGAGTAATTTATGTTAAATTTCATACTTATTGGAGGGGTGTTGGATAAAATAGAGAAGAGAAGATACTTAGAGAAAATGTGTCACATGTGTCACACTAAAGGAAATTCTGGATTTTTTAAAATAATGCCTTATAAAGTTAAGAACTTAAAAGTTATACGCTATTAAAATATGGATTATTAACTATGATTTTATGTATACTAATTGGTATAACATAAATAAAAAGTGTTTTAATAAAATTTTGAATGTAAGTCACTAAAACCTTGTAACATGCATGGTAAATGATGTCCAGGCAGAGAGGATTAAATAAGCTTTAAATAAAAGTTAAACTAAAGTACTTGTAATATAAAAATTAGAGTTTTTTTATGGATTAAACAAATCATATGTTTTTAAAAACAATGTTTCAATAGATTTACCTAACATTGTAAAGTTGATCCAATTGAACAATGTAACTGTTGCAGTGTTAAGAGCAATACTGTATTGCTAGGCAACAAAGTAAAAACAAATTAAACTGTTAATTAGGAGAAATTAAAATAAATATAATTTTACATCTGAATGCTGGTTAATGTTAGGTTTTTGTTTTTAACCCTTTTGCAATAGGTACCCCTTTTTGCACAAGTCACTGAGTTGCATTCAAGATTTAAGTAAACAACTTTACTAGCAGTATATCTCAATGAAATTAACATTATATAATGTACGTTATAATTTGAAGTTTTATGTTATTCAAGTTTTAATTCCTTCATTTTAAAAGAAGCTATAAAAATACTTAAACTTCATTTTTTATTCTTACGTGATGCACAAGCATACTTAAATCTGAACTTTCGTAATCTCTAACTTGAATCAGCCAACTACACTGTCTGTAATTGTATATCTAGACAAAAATCATATTTACTGCACTATTTACATGTATGTTCCAAAGTTCTTTGGCTGAGTTCAGTTGAAACAAGAAATATATTTTGCCAACCCTTAATGGATGCCACACCACCTTCTATACTTAGCCTTGAGATTTACAAGCCACGTGTACTTATTTGATGCACGTGTTTATAACCATTATAAAGAGCTCATTTTATGCTATAATTCAACAATTGTTATTTTGAAATTGGTGCACATTTGTTGTTATCAGGTAGATATAACTCCCGATAGTATTGTTGGATGCTTTGTCCATGATAGCACTTATGGTTGTTTCTTACCTAATTATGTTATAGTTGGAGAGAAAGTTAGCTTGTATTTAGGTTTTACTTTTATATTTTAGTTAATTATGTATTATTCATCTTTAAAAATGTATAATTGAAAGATTTTTTAAATATATATCACACTTTACCTCAGTTCTCAAGGCTTACGATATTATATGAGTGCAAGAAAATTTTACCGAAGGCTTGCACATCTCCGCCAAAGATACTGTAACATGCCCCAAGGGCATTGTTGACTTGTGTCGAGATGAATAGTAAATGATAAAGAACAGAAAACGAAAATAAAACATTACAAATTAACTATATGTTAAAAGGAAAGACCTGAAATTATGAATATAACCAAAAGAACTTTTCAGATATTCTTCAAAAAAAATTTTCTGTTTCTTAATTTTAAACATTTCATTGCACTGTATGCTGATGATAATATGTACAATTAGTAATATGGTAGAGAAAATGAAAAATATAATATAAACATTTACCTTAAAAAACGTTTGATGAATCATTTAGGAGGTTCTAGAGGTTATGCAAAATACACATGAAAAACTGAAGATGAAAAAAATATTTCTATACTTAAATGAAAGTCACCTTGCAACCGAACTATTAAGAGTTTTAGTGCATTTAACTACAATAGATAAAATAACATATGTTTAGTAAAAATACTTAATTAAACTAATATCATTCTTTGATACCAGTATTTGTGAGGAAAACTCAAGAGTTATCATATGTATTGTTGCACATATATCCTTCCCAAGATGGGCTCCTGTATTTTACACGATCCTGCTGGAAAAGGGTTAAATACAGACAGATTCTTTTATTTTTCTTCCACTTATATTATTTTCTCTGCCTATGATTTTAACATTTGGAAAAACAAAAATGTGTTTATTTTTAGTCATATTTAATTTAGCTGATGCTATGCTTTAAAGGTCTGCAAAAAGTCCAGGAATTTTGTCAGTCACTTCAGTGTTGTTTGAGTAGGATATTGAAGATCATTTTAACTAACTTTCATACCTTATTCTTCTTTATATTCCCAAATCATCCCTCAAGAAGGAAAGTCCACCATCCAAAATACCTCTCATGTTGTTTTTTACCTGAATTATTTGTTTATTTAATATCATTAATATCTCTTACGCATGTATTTCAGGAGAGTAGTTCATCCAACTATTCCCCTTGTGAAACTCTGCGCCAAATGGCTACAAAGTACAACAGAAATTGTCGTACCCCTTTGTTAGAAGCCTTGTGGTCTTTGAAGACAACAGTAAGCTGCTTTCATTGTTTTCATATGATTTTAAACTTTGTTTTTACTTCTTTGATATGATTTTTGTGTAAAGAGTTATTTGGAATTTTATTTTTAATAAACTTGCATCGAGATGTGTTATAGTGATTTTTCTTTTATTTAATAGTGCATAAAGCTGTTAACTGGAACTTGAAAACATGTTTTTTTACCTCAGAGTCAGCTCTCTTTTCTTTTCTTATTTCCTTAGGAAAGACCCAAATCTGTTAAACAACTTCTGCATTTTATCAAAGTAAGTTCCATAAGACATTTACCACATCTTCATAGATCAGAGCACATCAATGTATAAACTTAATAGTACAACAATTAGTTTATAAAGAAAGCTTTATTATGTAATTTCTTGTTCACTATGCTGCAGTTTTTTATAGATTATGCATGTTTGCTTTTATATTTATATATATGTGTTCCCACTGCTATGGAAACTCTACTTCCACAGATACTAATTACCAAAGCACATTTTACCATTCTGATGTTGTGGTTTGGTCCCTAATTATTTGTCTTGATTTTGTCCTAGCAGTTTTGAAATTTATATTATACACACACATACACAGATCAGTTAAGTTTCTATGGGTATTTGGAACAGTATACAGGGCAATAAAATATCTACCAGTCTTGCAGACATTCATTAGGAACTATCAGAAACCTGCAAATATTTGCAACAGTACTTCTTTAAATACAGGATTTCTAGAGTAATACAAAAAAATTCTAATCACAGACACCAAAATCCAAGTCCAGTTATCTTAGGCTTAACATTAGTTAAGTCCTTATTAAGTGTGGCCTATTCTTGATATAATAATGAATTAAAACTAACTTGTGTACATGCACATGCACATTTAGATAATAAAGTGTGTGTTTATTTTCGGGACAGACAAAAATGTGTATTATTATAAAAAATTGTGGGTTGTACAATCCATTGGTTTCTTGAAATGGCACTACCATCCTGAGGATGGATATAGTAATTAAGAATAATTAGCAGCATTGAATAACTGTTATAGTGGCAATCTTAGTACAATTTCCAGAGAGAAGTAGGATGCATTCCCTGTGATTCTGTATGAATGTATGCAAAATATCTCATCTATATGTTTGTTTACTCTATAGTTTGTTCCAAATACCTATAATGGCTTTATATTCACTCTATGCATAAAGAAATACTAATATAATAATTGTAGTGCTTTTTATGGTGTGTCCATTTTGGAAACTTTTTTGCTCAAGTTTGGGTAACTTTACACATTGAGTTGTCATAGCTAGTTTGGAAACATTACAGGAATGTTCCTCGGAATATTATTTTATAACCTGCTTTATGCTACGTTCTAAATAGTATGCTTAATGGTGACCCTGATGGTGGAGTGACATTTTAGTTTGGGGGTACTCAAAAGAGGGAATTGGGTCTTGGATAAGGAAATCTAACTTCTTTATTTCTGGATCCATAGAATTTTGTGGGAAGTCTTTTTCTTATGCTGCTGTAGTGCATTTCCTCTGCCTTAGTGATACAAATGTAATTAAGCAGTACAAATAGGCCTATTTATGATACACCAGTGCAGTTTTGTAAATAGGTCTGTGTTGGTATGACCATAGGAATTCCACAGAATTATAGATTGGTTATTCTAATGAAATGTTTAAAAAAATTTTTGATATAGAATATTATACTTGTTTGATAGAAAGTTTAAGTAACTCTGGATATTTATATGAAAACTTGTACGGCTCAAGTATAATTCTCAGTTATACAATACCTTATGTGTAATTGTATGGAGGCTATTGTATGTTAGCTGCATAAGACAATTATATGTGGCATAATCTTTGGATAAGTTGTGTCTCTTTCTCTTTTCTTGCTTTTTTTTATTGTACCTCCTTAACAAACTCTCTTGTCTCACTAGCTATCTTGTGTTATGACAGTTACACAGTAATAAACTACCAACTTGTATAATAACCACAAGTATTTTTAACTATTCAAAGTAAATAAGTGTTCATACACGATGTGGATTTATTTTCCTAAATATTCCTTCTACCTGGTGTTATAAATGAATGCCTCACATTTAATAGTCCACACCACAGTTGCCAATGGATACCTCACAGGACTTGACTTTCAATCTTCTTGAAGTTATTGACACCAAAAATTATAGAACGTACTAGTACTCTTCCGTAGGCACTTAACTTCAGCAAGTCTACGACACAATCCAGAGAAATCAAATTTCTATGCACAGGCAGTAATATTCATAACTGCCAAACCCTACAACAACATCAGCAACTTGCGCATTACACATGAAAGAAACAAACAAACAAAAACAACATCTCTCGTTGGTTCAATCAGTCCTTTTTATACTTTCAGGGGAAGACTTGAAGTCACGTGCTGTGTGTCACAGTTGTAATACTCAATGAGATAATGTCACAATACAGCAAGCCAAGTTATTCAGTACGTTACAATTAATGAAATAAAATATACCCATTACACAAAATACTTTTTAGCATAATATTCCAAATTACTCAGGACATTACAATCAATGAAATAAAATATTGTACCCATTACACAAAATACTCTTTAGCGTAATATTTGCCTGTTATCATAAAATGTACTAGAACTTATAAAGTAGTCATTTAACTTCATCTACTGATTTTAAAATTATTTTTTTATTTTTTGAAATGATATCGGGCCAAATCATTAACCACATTATAAATATGTTTAAAAATTCCTTTGTCTTATATCAACACCATGTTTTCTAAAGTGTACTGGAAAAAGTAATACATCAAACCTAATTATGGCAATTTCATGAAAACTTCTTGTTCATAATACATAGTTCATCTTACTGTTATAGGTGGAAAACTTATATACCTATCTAATTATTAACAAGTACTTTGACTAACTACACTAGTTAAAGCATATAATAATTTCAGTAAATTTGTCATCAAAAATAAAATTAAAAGACTGGTTTAAATTTGGGTTGCATTGCCCGTTTCAAACTTCTGTGTTCTTGAAATACTGGTCTCAAATTATTATGTTGCAGGCTATGTATCATTTTATAGTTAGCATAAAACTATATTTGGTTATGTCCTTATATTAACCATGTATATGTATATATACACATTGTTTTATAGCTTGTAAATGTTAAGTACATATCATATGGTTGTATAGATATTTTGGTAGTACCCCTAGAAGATAGTTACCATATTGATCTCTCGAACTTAAGCTTACCACAGAAAATAGTTTTGTTAGTGGTTTGCTCTTCTGTATTCACACATACAGTCCTAGTTTCATATGAATGGTGACACATCACTCTGTTATCTTACTCAACACTTAGGTACACAACACACTTGTAAGGCTGATGTTTTTCACTTTAACAGTGGAGTACTCTTTTATATTTCTCTACAAGAACTTATATTCTAAAACATACATACTTCTTGTCTGTGTTAAGTTATGCTTACCAATTGTCAATTAAAGGCTTTTACTAATACTTCTTATTAGTATAAATATATACTGTGTTCTTGTTGGGCTTAGGATTCTTCTACAGTAAATGTCTTGTAGGAAGTTGTCTTTATAATTCATTGATGTTGAAACTATTGAATGTCGCATGCAATACACTAACGTTGAGAATATAGAGATTTCTAGAAGGCAGGCAGCTGATTAAGTGATAAACATATAAGTAGTGTGAGATGAAAAGAAACAATTGACAGACATAGCAAAAAAGAGTAAAGTCACAGCCAAGGAAAAGTTCAGCATGAAGTTAACTGCCGTAGAAGTGATGAGCCTAACGTTTAATATGTTAGAGTAAGACTAACAGTTTTAAAGGAGACAAGTAGTATAATTTATTTTGTTAAAATGTGGTTCTAAAGTAATTGAATCAGCCTGAGTACACTTTGACAAAAGGAACAAAGGATATTTTCATAAAAGAAGATCAAACAATTACTAGAAGAGCAGTATATGACTGCGGTAACTTGCTACACAGTTGTAAGTGAATTATACACAGAATACTAGTGTAATAGAAATAGGGAAAGGTAGTTCAGCTTGTCAACTGAAATTTTGAAGTAATTAAATAGGCCTAAGTGAACTTTTAACTCTATCAAAACATGGTAGGTCAATTTGAACAAGTCATGTGACCTTTTGTACTCATTTAAAGTTGATACAAATTTAATACTTATAACTCTTAATATATTGGATATATCTTCACGAAATTTGGCAGTCTGTCAGTTGCTATTACGAGTCTTTCACATACAAAAAGTCATATTTCTTAGTGAAGTATTTTTAATAAAATAAAATAAAGATTTGTCCATGAATATATTGAGTATTTGTTTTGAATAGTCCGTGTGCAAAGAAATTTTCATGTTAAAATTAAAAATACTTTTCATCATCTCAGAAATCTCAAGTTTCCTTTGTGTAATCCCTAAAACCTCCTAAATGCATTTCAAATGTTTTTTTTTTTCACTAAATCTTTGTAGTTTATATGTTATTTTGTCTACCCTATCTCAAAACGGGATTGGTCAATTAAATCAACCTCATAACCACCAAAAAAAAAAATCGAAATAAACCAAAATTAACCTTCTTTTCTTTTTAGAATGACTTCAAATCGTAACATGAAACTACATTCGTTTATCCTAAGTAGCTCTAAGTTCGTAACATTATACATCTATTTATAATTAAATTTTATTATTTTATTGCTCTTTGAACCGTGTCTAACTTCTGTTCGTGCCATTATAAGTTGTAAATCACTCGGGGAACATGCAGCTTACGTTACACTATCGAATTACATTATGCACGAGCTGCTCGCATGCATGCCTCATAAACCATTTTAATTATATTCTTATTATTACTTATTTTACTTAACCTAGTCTTAAATAACTTAAAATGATCTGTACTTTTAATTTGAATTATTTTTATGATAATAAATAAAGAATAAATATGAAAAACAAGAAATAAAGAACTTACCCAGTCTTCTTTTTTCTTGCCCTTGATTGTTGAGGGGAGTTAAGCCTGATTTTGTATAGTAATTACAGTAAAGCACTTAACAATTTAATAATGCACCAAAGAATATAGACTAATAACATGCAAAAAGTAGACAAATTCATTTACCTCTCAAAATTTTCCTGGCTTTCTAACAAGCCATTACAAATTCATCCAAGCTAGTCGTTAACTTCCCACAGGAATGATGTTGTTACTCCGAGTGAAACTGATGATTATCTGTTCAGAATACAACGTTATACAATAATCATTTAATAGATGAAAACCTTGACTTTCTTTTGGTTATAGGTAATATATAATGAAACGTAAGAGGGATTTATCAATAAATTGTGAAAGAGAGGATATGGCAGGAGGGGTCTGATTTTCTATTTGATAGCTCTGTAACTAAACAGAATTGAAGACTATAAAAATTATGGTTTGTTTGAGCAATAATAATTTTATAGAGTATTTTATGTTTAATTTCATACATTTTCGAGGAGTGATGAATAAAATAGGGATGATGACATGCTAAGATAAAATGTGTCACGTGGACTAGTGGAAATTCAGGATTTTTTATATATATTTCCTTGTATAATTAAGAACTTAAAACTTGTATACGATTAACACTTGGATTATTAGCTATAATTTTATGCTATTCTAATTGGTATAACATAAACAAAAAATAGTTTAATAAAATTTTGAATGTAAGACACTAAAACCTTGTGTCATGTGCAGTAAAGAGTACCCAGGGAGAGAGGGTTAACAAGAAGAAGGTAATCATATAGTGTTTATGATATCCCTATGATCTTTTTAGTGTAAAGAATTTGTTGTACATACGTTAAACTAGTTCTGAATATATATATATTATTTTGAAAACAAGTGGAGTGTGTGCTATTCATATGTCACTGAATTTATTTCTAACAAGCCACAGACATTTACTGTAGAAGAATCCTAAGCCCAACAAGAACACAGTATATATGTATACTAATAAGAAGTATTAGTAAAAGCCTTTAATTGACAATTGGTAAGCATAACTTAACACAGACAAGAAGTATGTATGTTTTAGAATATAAGTTCTTGTAGAGAAACATAAAAGAGAATCCCACTGTTAAAGAGAAAATCATCAATCTTACAAGTGTGTTGTGTATCGAAGCATTGAGTAAGGTAAGTATTATTGGAAATATATTTTGGGTATTAGAAAATGCTAACGTGGACAAGCATGACTCAGGGTTAGTGTGCCAGACACTTAATCTGCAGGTCCATCATTCTTGTCCTGTTACTGCAAAAACTAAAGCTTTGCACTTTGGAGACATTGGTGCATTATGTAGGAGACAGTTAAATTCAATTATTCCATTGGACAAGATAAGCCCAACAGTTAGCAGTTGGTGCTGTTGACTAGCTGCCTTCGATTCCTTTAGTCTGTTGTTTCAAAATTAGAAACAACTAATGCAGATAGCTCTTGAGTAACTCTACATAAATATCCAAAAACAAATAAACTTTTCAATGAGCATCTTATTAAAGTAGGAGAGGATCAAGCACTGAGTGTTCAGACAAAGTAAAATTATTAGTTGAAGTTCAAACATTCACAACTTGAAAGTAATCATCAGAAAATAATAATATTTAGTAGATAAAGTAATGAAATGAAGGGAAAAGCAGCTCCAATTCTTCCAAAAATAACAATCGTAAAGAAACTCTGATCATGAAACATGCATGTGGAGAACTGTACAAAAACAACATCAATCATACCATTTAATACATTCTGCCTTTCAAAATGGCTCCTAACACGGTGTGTTTGAACATTAGAATTGTTTTTTCAAAGCATATTGCTAAAGCAGTAGCAGTAACACTGGCATGGCATTGAAATTCTATTGGTATGTGAAAGCAGCAATTGAAGACGATCATGCAATAATAAGTCTTATCAGAGCCAATAGAAAATGTAAAAAACATGATTTAATGTGGATACTACTTGTAAATGTACCCATAACACCCACTGAAATTATGGTGCAAGTCAGACAATTTGTAGTTCTTATTGGAAAAGGTAATTGTCAAGAAGAATGTAATGCCAGTCCAGTATCCAAACACACACAAAGCTCCTACAATCAACAGTCTGGAAGATCATGAGCAAGACACTGATTCTGTATCTTTAAAGGATACAAACCACCCTTGAACTGCTGCAAAACGTACTACACTCCTACAACAGCCTGGAACTTTATTAGTAAAACACTGAGAATGTATAATTACAGGTTATATATCACCCTTGAACTGCTGCAAAACGTACTACACTCCTACAACAGTCTGGAACTTTATTAGTAAAACACTGAGAATGTATAATTACAGGTTATATATCACCCTTGAACTGCTGCAAAACGTACTACACTCCTACAACAGTCTGGAACTTTATTAGTAAAACACTGAGAATGTATAATTACAGGTTATATATCACCCTTGAACTGCTGCCAAGCACACCAGAATTCTATAATCAACAGTCTGGAAGGTCATTATTAAAACACTAAGACTGTATACTTACAGATTACAGAATACTTTAACTGCTGAAAGAAGATGTACATAAATGGTTAGACTTTGCAAACTAGTTCTTGGCTTAAGCTGGTAGCAGCAACTCATGTCTCAATGACATCATGTAAGCTGATGATGCATATTTTTCACTGTATGACTAGGCCCGCACCAATAACTGTTTAATCTGAGGAGAAACCAGTCCACATGCCTTTGTACAATGGCAGTTGCATGAGGAGAGGGTATGGTGTGAATTGGATTTGCCTCATTTCTTTGAAGAACCCATAAATAATGCAATTGGGGAATTGAATGCTGTGGATAGATGTTGGAGAGTGTAATAATTTTTTCACTTCAGGGAAGAATTTTTAATAAAGCTATCTTCGTGAAACTAACAATAGTGTTTTACCCCACATTGCACAGACTGTCAAGACATTGATGAGACATACTAAATATACTTTCAGATGCATAGTCTCTAAATCTTACACTTGCTGATTTTTGGCTATGGATCCACTTCAATTCATTTATTTATCATGACATGCTTATACTTACTTCTTTGACAGACCTAAAATATATGACACCAAGTATTATACAGTATTGTTCAGCTGTATATCATTACAAGAATGGCGATAAAATTGTGCAAATTTCATGATCAATGCCCCCCCTGGTGATAATTATTTTTGGCACTGGAATCATCTTTCCCTTTGTCTCATTAGACCAACTACCAAATATATAACTCTAATGATTAATCTTATAATTATGAATGTTAGAATATGTCAACTAACTCTATAATGATTATAATCCTTTATTTATGCTCCAGACCTGGTTGTTTCAATTTACTTGTTTTTTTTTTTTCAATTGACAGAAGAAATTCATATCATTTGTAATTGTTAAATAAAACAAAGATCTTTAAGTGTTTATCTGTTGTCACATTCATAACTTGGTAATCATCATTGTGTTAAATGTTTTATATATTTTAAAAGTATAAAATTTTATTCTGACTTTATTTTGAACTGATGACCCTTTTATAAACTTTATGGCCTAGTTCTTGTTAAATATATATTTTATTTACAGAAATATATTCTAACAATTCTTGCTGATAATCTAGTGGTCATAACACTAAAATAAAACCTATATTTTAATCACTAATATTAAACCCTTTATTTAACTACAGGTAGCAATATTTCAACAGAAAATGTGTATGTTCTTTAGTATTTATTTTTAGTAACCACATTTATAAGATCTTTGGGAAATAAAAGATGCAAATTATAAGTAGCTCTAACTGGCTAGCCTTATAAAATTACAACATGATGTATAAGAATGTCTAACAATTAAACCTTCATGTCTTACCCAGTTAGTTGCATACTCAAAGTAAGTGGATCTTTTAGTTAACCAATAAACACATTTTTAATATGTTGTATGAAATATTTGTTTTGACAAGATCAGTAGAGTTTTTAATTTTCTTATTTTTTCAGTTTTTGCTTGAAGAACTTTGCTCTGACGTGTCAGCATTGATTAAAGAGAATCAAATAGGAGTAGGTCAGTAAACTTTAAAATTTTACCAGTCTCATTTTGAATTGAAAATCTGATCACTTAGTGGAATATCATGAAATACTTTAAATATTAAACAAAGATATTGAAATATAGTATCAGAGATATTGATAGTGTAATGCAAAAATCTTTTAATTTTTTTTTTGTTCAAAAAATTGTTTTACAATATATTCAATGTTTTTACTTCATATTGTTTCAGAAAGTCTTTTCACCTGTCCACCATGTTATAATGTTAAAGGCTTACAGAGAAAATAGCTGCTAAATTTGTTAAAAATCTTACATGTAAGAATTCTACAGCTATCCATGTATCTAAACCCTACCCCCATCCAAAATATTGCTGTTAGATTGATGCAGATATGAGAAGAAAATTTGGTGGGGTGGGGGGGGGTATATTTGTCTGTCTGACATGCAGCAGGGGCTAGTTTTGCATTTATTATATTCTCAGAGCACATGCTCTCCATTTTTCTTTGTCATAAGAACAATGCTAATAATGTTAGTTGTACGGTGACTAAAATTGTAAGTATATGTTCTAGAAACAACTTCATAACAATGAGAGGCTGTTTGTGATTATTCAATTGTCCTGCTTCAAAAATATTTAGCCAAAGAGCAATAATTGAAATAAAACAAGGACATCCCTACCAATCAGGTGGAATACCCACATCATTTTCAGTGTGTTTGAATGTTGATCATATGTAGTTAAAGATGTAGACTTCACCATATAGTTGATTCTACTCACTGACTATGTAAAGGTAACATTCTTCTTATACCAGCAACTGCTGTCAAACATACTTGCCTACTCAATCTCTGGCTTGACTTCAGAGACATCATTTTAATATGTCATCCTCCAGCTATTTCTGCAAAATTTCACACAGGCTTCTTACATCACATCAACTTATCTCTTATCAACTTCCACCATATATTGCATATTAGGGTTTCTCTTATTATACTTGCAACCAACTACATGCAGTTATTATTCACAAATTTGGATAAGTTAACTTCTTTAGTATCCAAAGGACTTTTTATACACAGTTTCATCTAAGTGCTGAATAACCTCAATATAAATCTTTTTCTCTCCCTTCCCCCCAAAGAAAACTCAGTATTTCCACCTTCATTTTAATCGACAAGATAAATTCAATTTGTTCCACTCTCTCATAGAAAACTAATATAACTAAAAACCTGTCATCACAACAAACCAGCAAGTTCATTCAAACACCAGATCCAGACATCTGCACTACCCCCAGTCCTGTTACAGTTCCAAACACCCAGACTACTATTCTGAAAACTCAAAGTGTAGCCACTCAGACTACAACTGATGAAGAGTCTGTTATTTCTGAAGACAAAGAAGTTGTCTTTGATATTATTTCATAGTTGTAAAATACCCCTGTAAAAATTCACCTGAGCTGGGAACTCCTCCTCACAAGTCTCTCCAAAGATTCTATCTGATCTAAATTATTCCTCCATAGTAGAATTGTTTTCATCGAACTGATTAAGTTGTTCTCAATTTATCTTAATCACCATGCACTGGAACAAAACAGCTTAATATACCAGCTATAAACAGTTTTTCTACATCATGGAGGAAGGGTTGAACATGACACTCCTAGGTGAACAAACATAGACTTAAACAATGGCACAGAAATTTATAGTGTATATCATATTCTTTGGTAATGTTATTAATATTACAATCTCGTATCATGAGTTTCAACTATACAAAAACGAAAGAAGTTGAATTTAATCATATAGTCTGTTTCCATTATCAAAATAAAAATATAAAATAAACTTTTCTTTAAGCATAAATGTTTTTAGGTGTATCATTGTAATTATTAAGAAACACTGTCACAGGCTGCTAACCAAAAGTTGCTAGAGACCTGGTCACACAACTGACACTTAATATTTAAAAAAACATACAAGCTTCTTGAGACAGAATCTCCCACGTCACGTTTTATATATGTTTCAGTGATGACATTTTTATGTTTCAGTAAAGTTAGTTTCAATTGTGTAGGCACTAAGAGGCATCTGTTGCAGTAAGTACTGAGAATTTTGTCAAGATAAATTATTTTCTAATCATATTAGCATCCACTTTTATCTTCCCATCAATATTCACCATGCTAACTTGAATGGTAAAACTATTAACAGAATATAATCCCGGAAGTATTATTTGCATAATAAAAATAAGTCAACTTTGTCTATTAAAAATAATCTAAGATAAATAACAAATACATGTAATAAATAAATAATAAGTTTTAGTGTCTTACATTCAAAATTTTATTAAACTACTTTTTGTTTATGTTATACCAATTAATATGCCATAAAAACTTAGCTAATAATCCATATTTTAATTGTATATAAGTTTTAAGTTGTTAATTCTATAAGGAAATATTAAAAAAATCCTTAACTTCCCCTATTGTTACACAGTAACACATTTTCTCTAGGCATCTTCTCTTCTCTATTTTATCCACCAACCCTTCAAAAGTATGAAATTAAATGTAAATTGATCCATATAATATCATCATTGCTTAGACAAACCATAATTTTTTATAGCCTTCAGTTTTGTTTGGTTACAGAGCTATAAAAAAAAAACACACACCTACCTGTCACATTCTATCTTTCAGGATTTGTTAATAGTTCTCTTTTATGCTTAATTATATATAACCTATAACCACTAGAAAGTCAAGGTTTTCATCTATCAAGTGACGTATTGCATACCATTGTGTTCTGAACAGATAAGCATCAATTTTACTCAGAGTACAAGCTTCATTCCCATGCGAAAGATAACGACTAGCTTGGATGAATTTCTAACAACTCTTGTTGCATAGTTAGAAAGACAGACAAATTTTGAGGGAAATTGTCTGCTTTTTACATGTTATCAGTCTATGTTATTTGGTGCATTATTTAATTAGATAAAAATCATTTAATACACTACTACCATTAGTATAAAATATGTAGGCTTAAGTATAATCAACAATCCACAGTAAGAAAAAAGAAGATCAGGAAAGTAATTTATTTCTTGTTTTTCATGTTTATTCTTTATTTATTATTATAAAAGTAACTAAAATGTAAAAATAGGGATCTTGTTAGTTGGTTAAGATTAGATTAGGTAAAATAAATAATAATGTAATAAAAATGTTTCACGAGGCATGCATGTGAACAGCATACAGTTAACATAATTCAATAACGTAACGTGAGCTACATGTACACACAGTGATTTATAACTTATTAAGGTGTGAATAGTAGTTAAACACAGTTTAAATGGCAATCAAACAATAAAATTTAATTATATATAGATGTATACTGTTATGAGCTTAAAGCTACTTAGGATAAACTAATGTAGTTTCATGTTACAATTTGAAGTCATTCTAGAAAGAAAAAAAGGATAATTTAGATATATTTCAATTTATTTTAGGGGGTTTACAAGATCTGTCAAATTGACTGATCCTGTTTTAGTTAGGGCAAAGAAACTAACAGATTAATTATAAAGTTTTATTGGACAAAAACGTTTGAAATGTATTTAGGAGGTTTTAGGAATTACACAAAGGAAATTTGAGATTTATGAGATGAAGAAAAATATTTTTAATCTTAACATGAAAACTACTTTGCACATGGAGTATTCAAACAAATACTTCATATATTCATGGACAAATCTTGATTTTAGTTTAGTAAAAATACTTCACTGAAAAGCTGCTGTAAAAGACTTGTAATGTTAACTGAAAGACTGCCAAATTTTGTGAAGATATACATTATATATTGAAAGTTAGAAGTATTAAGTCTATAAAGCTTTAAACGAGTACAAAGAGGTCACTTGGTTAGTCAAATTAACTGAGACCATGTTGAGAAAGTCAATTCACACTTTTGAGACAGCTGTGTTTCGCTATAAAGTTTAGTATGTTACTATAGTTAGTTAACATAGAGTAAACACGAGTATAAATAACACATATTAGATGGCATGAATATTTAACCATTCCAGTATCATTACTTTCAAAAGTTTCTACCATTTTCACTCCCATATTTGATGCCATCACAACATGTGGATTGTACATGCATCAGAAGATTTCAATCACTGGCTAATGAAACTCTCAATTGAGAGCTTCCAAACATGGGACAACTGTATTTAAACAAATTTTACATTCATAATTATCAATTGCTGAGTAATAAAACAGTCAGCTGATAGCTTCCAAACATTAGACAACTAATGTTCGTTTGAGAAGAGTGGACTAGAAGCCACTCATATCAACTGAATTTTTTTTTTTCTAGCTGTTTGTTCAGCACTTCATTTGGCTGCAATGTGTAAAACTGGACAAGCCACAAAACTTTTGTTAGCACACCAGCCACCTATTAATGTGAAGGATGCAGAAGGCAGGACACCTCTTGTGGTGGCCATTGTTGCTGCTAACTATGAAGCAGCTGAGGCATTGGTGGGTAAAAGTAACCTTTATAAGTGATATGATAACTTTCATTACACAATCCTTTAGCCAGCTTCTTAAGTATTTTAAGCATAAATTCTGAATTGATTTTGTATATGTTCTTTAGTGGTATCTGTTACAATATGCTACTGCTTTAATAGTCTGGAAAATTTCTTATTATTATCAGTAAAGCATTATCATATTTGTTTCCAATTATTCTAATAAGATACTGTCTTTTATTAATTGCAACTTATTTACTTCTTTGTGTTATCAGTTGGCCCATAAAATTTTCACAAGCACCATATATTTTTTATTACTGTCTGTATGTAATTGTAGTATTATGTTTATTTTTAAGCATGGCATAACATTGCAAGAAGGTTTTCTGGCCACTAAAGCAGCAGGATAGTCTATCGGATGTGATATAAAGAATGTTTAAAAACCAGTTCAATATTTCTGCTTAAAACATTTATGAAGCTGTTTATAGGAATATGTGAAACAAGGGTTAAATTTTAATTAAACTTTTACTTAAGAGTACCTTTTGTATTCTCTTATAAAAAAAAAAATACAACAAAAATGAATGAACCACATATTTCTAACTTGTAAAAAAAGAAAAACTAATGAATTTTATTGTTGCTGGATTATCTTGCACATCAAAGTTAATTATATTGAAAATGCTATTATATTTTTTTCACTTTTTTACATACAGAATTTATGAGAAATATGTATAACATTTATTAATATAAAATACATTTTTAAGTTATATTCTGATACAAAACCAATTGCTCAAAGTTTAAGGTTTTTAAAAATTTTTTACCTTTGTTTTTATTGTACTTTGCGACTGTTGTTTAAGTCTATTGTCATGAGTTGCTGGGATCCTAGTAATAACTTTTGCATTTGTGCTCTGTACTCAAAGAGTGGAATGTTTAAAGCAAAGAAAATATGAAGACCCAAAAATATGATGGAAAATCACATTAGTCTCTATATGCTTCTTGTGAAGTATTCTTAATCAACCCATTAAGAATTTTAAAACAGTTGTGTGTAAAATGCATTTCTGTCACAAGGCTGTCCATAACTCTTCAAATGGTCTGGTTCTACCATAATGATAATTGTATGCAGTATTCATTAATTTGCAATAAAGGTCATATTTGATATTATTAACAACTCATTTATAGTGCATGTCTGAGTTAACTATGCTTGGTGAATTTCCATAATAGATGAAAATGTGTTAATGAAACTTTTCTTGTTGTTTCCTTTTATAGATCAAAGCTGGTGCAGATGTTAATATCCCTCTAAGTAAAGGAGAAGAAAATCTACCACCGCTTCTCTTAGCAGCGCGGTAATATGTTGACCCTTACCCATTTTATCCTTAACAAAACTTTAATCAATTGTTTGAAGTCTCATGCTAATGATTGTTTTGCTCCTAACTGCATTTTATATTGTGTACTTACTCAAAAATGGAATTTGTGGTTTTAGAAATTTGAAGCAATTGTGAATACCAATTGAAGAGGGAAGATCTGCTGCCTAGAAGTTCTCAAGCTATCAAAATCCTCATTTTGTGCTATGTATTTTCAAATGTATAATACTATTTCATAAATTGTTATTAAAAAGAAGTAAGTATCATACAGCTTTGAAGTAGGTTTTGAGTTTTAAGAAAAAAATGCAAGAGAGAGTTTTTTTTTTGTATTGCTGCTGTTTTTCTGAGAAATAAGTAAATGTTACTTTAATATATTTTTGTCTTTTTCTGTGATTTATTTGAACTTGTTTTTCTTTATTCCATTGATTGTATATTTAAATAGGGACAAGAAATTTTCAAAACTTGTGCCTCTATTAGTTCAACAGAAGGCTGATGTCACTGCCATTAATCACAAGGATGGAAACACTGCTCTTCATTACATTGTTGACATACCTGTATCAGGTGAAGTTTAGAATGTAGTTCCACTGGTATTCATAATATCCTCAAGTTATTGGAAACCTTTTTTTTTAATGTAGCAAATAAATGTGATATACTAGCATAGCATGTATTTTATACCTTGTTATTTTAATATATAATTGTTTCATACTTTTTTGTATATTCTTCATATATGTAGTTTTCACATAACTCATGGTCATGAAAGTTTTTAAGTTGCTTTCACTCTAGCTACATTTTTTTGTAATTCCCTTGTGATAACCATGATTTGTACATGGTTGGTTTAGCTGTATAGTTACATTTTGTGTATGGAGGTAGAAAGCAGTATCCTCTAATGGTAGGTCAGGTGATAGCTGAAGGTTACAACCTCCCTTATTTTCAATTGGGAATAACCAGTCACATGAGTTATGTTACTCAATCTGGTAAGCCTGACATTAGTAATTTAACTAAGTAACATGAGTTTTAGTTACTTTGGAGCAAGATTTTAAGTGAGTTGGTTAATCTGAAATAAATCTTGAGAGGATAATGACAGTCTGATCAGTCCACCTCTTCAGTAAAGGTGACTGTCCATCATCCATAGATAAAATACATACACTGTTGTTTTATTTCAATAAAGATTGTTTCATTCTGTGTTACACACTTTTGTACAACCTATTTATTTCTTTTCACAGACTCATTTATTTCCTAATACATCTTGCTGAAACTCCCATTATGTAATGGACCTGTTTCTTTCACTCTTGGGAGTAATTAGTTTTACTTGAAAATACCACCTAAACACCTCTAAACAGTTCATATAAATAATACAGTGTTTTTAAATAGTTTGTTGTGCCTATAAATTAATTAAGTTATACTTCTAAAAGTAAAGTACCAAGGAGGTACACCTTACTTTGAACAATCATTTACATATTCTTGTCAATTTTCCATTGACTTCATACAGCTTCCAAAGCCTCTTGATTCATAATTATGAAAGTTCTCAAAATCTAAATGTAGATATTATTCTGAGTGATGTCTATGCCAATTTTGATATAAATCTGTGTATTTGGCCCTCAGAACTCTAAAAATTTCTTTGATCACCATATGGTACTCATATTTTTTAATTTCCAATATTTGATTTGAAAAAAACTGTTTTGAATGGTTATTTATATTTTAACTTCAATTTTTGAATAACTCTGCTTAGTCAAAGCTGAAAGCTTAAAAAAAAACCTTGAGCCTTTTCATAACTGTTCTACAAAAAAAAATTTCTTTGTGAATATTTTGTGGCAGTCAAGAGTGTACATGTAAGTTGTTTTGTCAAAATCTGTATGAAGAGCTCAAAAATCCAGTAAGGATATATGTTTAGTCATGCACAAATATAGCTGAAAATTATATCTAGTCAACTAATTCTATATGTTTGTTCACCTAAATAGCTTAAGTAACGTTTGATTGGTAGAATGTTATGCTATCTTTTCATTTCTATGAGAAAAACTGTCAATGAACTAATAAGCTATAAACAGTCTCCTAGTCAAGGCTTATTTTAACATCATTTGGTATTATTCCAAAGATTTGATCAGGTTAAATAAAAACAATTGTAAAACAGTAAGTAAAATTATGTTGTGAAAAGCTTATTGCTAAAGATTGTCTAAAATATTATCTCTACCATTGAATTAGTTAATCTATTTCATTAGCAAAATTTACTAATACACTACCATACTGTAACTCTTTTGATTTTAAATTGTTTGATGTTATTCAAACCATTACTTCCAATTGAAGGAACTAAACTAGCAAGTAAAATATACTTAAAGCCCACCTGTTCTTTAAATATGCTGTTTAATATTGTTCCTACCAAAAAATCACTTTGGGCATTTGATGCAAGTAAAATGTAAGAATGATTGACCTTAGTTACATAAATCTGTGGTTATGAATAATCAATAAAATTTGTCATAATTGTGTTTTATAATGATTTTATAATGATTTTAAATTGTTTGATGTTATTCAAACCATTACTTCAAATTGAAGGAACTAAACTAGCAAGTAAAATATACTTAAAGCCCACCTGTTCTTTAAATATGCTGTTTAATATTGTTCCTACCAAAAAATCACTTTGGGCATTTGATGCAAGTAAAAAGTAAGAATGATTGACCTTAGTTAAATAAATCTGTGGTTATGAATAGTCAATAAAATTTGTCATGATTGTATTTTATAATGATTTGTGTCAGTTTATGTAAAAGCATGTGTACACATAATCCTTATTGTTTATTTTATATTCTTATATTCATATGTTATCATTCATTTTAAGTGTATTGTTTATGATTTTTGTAATTCTGTGACTATCCCAACTCTTTTTTATTTCTTTTGTTTTCATAGATGTAGAAATTGTTAAAAAAGTTATTGAAGCAGGAGCCAATATCAATGCCCCCAACACTTTTCTCAGGACACCTCTTCACCTGTCAGTAAACAGCCATACAGGAGGTACAGATGTGGCATTAGATATCCAGGACTACCTGCTACAAAGAGGAGCCCAAACTTATATACCCGATATACTTGGGAGAATCCCACTCCACTATGCCTTTGTTAAAATCTCTAGGTAACAAATTAATTTAGTGATGTTTTATATATAGATATATATAACATATAAGGCTAGTTGTCCATGGTTTTGTAGCAATAATATTTTCATTAAAAAACTCCACTTAAGTAGTTTGGTATAAAGAAAACAGATGAGAAGTTTTAACTCTTTATGAGCTTATTGATTATCTAAAGGCTTGTATTGGAAATTTCTGAAATTTAAAACAAGTAAAAAAATGTGTTTGGTCTTTTTTTTTTATATGGGATATTCATATGATATATGTGTATATGCTGTTATATCTTAACATCTAAAAACAGTGTTATATTTTTTCTTTAGAGAAAATGATTTTTCCCACTCAGACCCAATTGAATTGGTAGGTTTGCTCACCAGAACAGTGGGAACTTGTCCTGTTGACCTAGCAGATAACAATGGGCAAACACCATTGCATTTAGCTGCTGCTCATGGAGCCACTATTTCCTGCATGTATCTTTCTCAGGTTAATGATGTTTTTACTTCTGAGGGATTGATTACTTGTGTTGTGTAATTTTTTTACATCATTTTCTTAATTAAAGTTATCCATATTAATTTAAATTTATGAGTTCTGGTTATGCAATTTTATGAGCTGTGTGTGTAGAAGCACTTATTTGTTTATATCTGTAGAGGATGAAAACACTGGACTTGAAGGATAAAAATGGAAATACCCCTCTAGGTTTGGCTGTCTTGCACAAACATGAAGGGTAAGTCCATGCATTTGCATCCTATTATGATGCTACAAGATTTAGTAATTATAATGAAGTTGTTGTAATATACATTGTTTTATCATGTAAAAGATGCTTGGAAGTTACAACTCTTAAGTAGTGTCACTTGTGTTATGGTTTTTATTTTGTTGTAAAGTGTGTGTTTTTTTCTGTCTAAGAAGCTACTGTATCTCTACTTTTTATTTCATTACAACAATGACCCCTTTCATGCAAGCCTTGTCAGTTAGACAGGATAAGGTACCAAATTATAGGAATTCAAACTTTTCATTGAAATTGATTGATGACATGAATAAGATATTTAGTTAGATACTGTCCTGCATTGTTCAGAATAATATTTTTGTAACGAATAAAGTTGTTTGCAATTCTTTAATCAAAAACCTTTTTATTTGTATGGTGTCAATGATTCTTACATCATACTTCACCAGTTGTATTAACTGATGACATTCAGTAGAAATGTCCCTAATTTGAGGAGAATGAGTTTGTTGTCAAATTATTTCTAAGTTACAGTGGCACAATCATTATAGGTAAAAATTTGTATGAAGGATTAAAGTTTGGTATCTAAATTGAGTGAGTCCTCTTGTATAAAAGTTAATCATTGTTTACAGGATATGTCTTCATCATGAAAAGTTTAGAATGGTTTGTCGGTTTCCATTGTACATGTTTTGACTCTGTAATAAGACGTGTTGATTGGTTCCTTGCTTTTATTTAAGTGAAGAAAAATATGGAGAATTAATTCATATGTTTTCTCTACAAACTAGTTGTTCACTAAATTTAAGTGCAAGTACAACGAAAAAATTTAAAATAATTCAGTAGAGGTGAGTGATGGATTTAAAGATTCATTCTTTAATACATTTTTATAAACTCAACATGTTAGTATAAACATTCATGTCACCACTGACTCACTGACAGAGTAGTTAAAGTTGTACTTCATGATACTAAATATAACTATTGAAAAAGAGTTATAACTCATTTGGTTCTTTGGCTTCAAATGAGTCAACTTTATATTAATGTCTCAATACTTTTATTTAGATGTGCTGTGATGCTGCTTCAAAAAGGTGCGAGCTGCACCTTGGATCTCGTCCATACAAGACCAGTCCGAGAGAAAGAGAATGCTTGGAAATGGAATTATTTAAAGGAATTACCAAAGCCTTCAATTAAACACTCCATTTTACAGGTACATGGGTCTCTTACCCTAGTCATAAATTGTAGTGAAACTTTGAATGAATCTATACTGAAAGTCTTTTAATCCTGTGTGAATGGCATTTGTGCTTTGCATCAGCCCAATTTCTAGACATCAGTTTTTATGTTTAGGAACTATAAACCATAGGTGGCATGATTAAATACACCTGAGATGATTATGACAAGTACCATGCATCTAGTCTCTTACATGTAAAATTACCAGATATTTTGAAATGTTGAATGAAAAGTATGCTAGATCTAAAACATTTATTTTTCATTTGATTTTTTTGCTGTTATTATGTTATCTAGTGTATTTCATGTTGATGAACTGTTTTCTTGAACAGGAAGCAGTGAGTATAGATTGGCAAGGAGTGTTGTACCTGATGTTGGATCAGCTTGAAACTGTTGGAAAGGGATTATCACTTGCTCTCGAGGTATTTAGTTCATTACTAACATCAATATTGAAAGTAAAAAAAGGAATGAGTTTACAGTTTAATGAGAAAAGATGAATTTTTTATTTCAGAATTGTCACAATTCGTTAATTACAGTAAAATTATCTGTTGTTATTACAGTGTTTCATTCACTGTTATTATGCCATAGCAACAGATGATTTTAATATAGGAGTTAAGGATTCCTGATAATATTATTATTTCTATTTTTAATTGAATGTTCATGGATGGACTGACACTGTATTGAAGTAATATTAACTATAATTATAAAGTTTATATTCATGAAATGTGGCAAGCTTTTATTCAACAGTACAAGGCTGTCACTTTTCCAGTGGAGTTCCTGTTTGATTATATTATATACTGTTACTTGGAGCACATGAATGGCTTTTAACGCTGTCCTTTCCATCTTGACAATAGCCCTGCAGCATAGTTTACATTGCAAAAGGTTCTGTCATAAGGCTTTTGTGTCCAAAGCACACCATTCCTCCCTGCAAACTTCCATAGCACATGTAATATATCAGGACAGTGATTTCCCAGTGCTCATTTCAATATACAAATCGTACAGAAATCCATAGATGCTGCATCCAGTGACTTGATCAGTATGTCTTCATACAGAATAACATGAATATCTGTTCATTCTCCAGCTGCTTGAGTTGTGGAATGAATGAATGGAAGTATCTTACATTCACATGACTTATGTCACTTTTCCACTGGAGTTCCTTCTTGATTATATTGTATACTGTTACTTGGAGCACATGAATGGCTTTTGACACTGTCCTCTGTGTTAGTAGATTCTCACCTGTTACAAGATACATCACTTTGCTTACCAGGGCTGAGGTACGACTTGTTACAGGTCTCTTTCTGGATGTTCTGGCTTCTCAAGTTAATCCATATTCCTTTGTTTTCTAATGCTATTAAGTCCAGTTGTTATCACCATCTTAGAGATTCTAATTCCCCTACCTGAACATATTATTATGATCTGAGTGTATAAATATTTTGTGCTAGAAAGGGCTGTTACATATACCCTTCTTAAAAGCAATAATTATTTAGCTGTATCACACTACCTACAAAATGACAAACAATGTGAAAATGTATTTCTGATACGTTGTGTTCCACTTTGACTTTATACTGGATGTTGTCGTCATATGATTTGCTGACTTGAATGGTCAAAATCGTTTTAACATAAGACTCAACACCTTGTATCTCAAGGAGAATCAAAAGGTATTTTATTAATTTTAGAAATAGTTTCTCATAGATGAAAACAGCAATATGTTAATTGTGGCTGTTTTTTAAATACAAGTGTAAACCAAATTGTATTATAAAATACACACTCTGGATACTTTTCCTCCTTACTGTGTATTTATAATTATCAGTTTTTTAATGTTCACACTGCAGGAATTACTTATGTTTTGGTACCTTTATTCCACTTAAAAAAGAAATATATTTCAAAGTTTTTACTTGAAATGAAATCTGCTACAGGTTGACTGTTTTCTTTTAGGCAGCTGTGGCAACTAGCCACTACCAGCTAGCATTGAAACTTATGAGTCGAGTAAGATTTGGGCAGACTCTATACAGTGAGAAGCAAACTATGTTGCATCTTCTTGCACGAGAAGCAGTGCCTGGTTATCAAGAAGAGCTGCAAGTGAAGGTGAGATTTTAGTATTCGTCATATTTGGTTTTAACATTATTACATGATTTCATTTGCTTTGGGCATCTTACTACTGAATTGTGAAGTATAGAAAAGGAAGTAGTCACATTTAAACACCTCTACTTTAGATACAGATTTGTTTTACATTATTTCTCTGTGAGAGCTAGGCCTCTACATTACTTGAAATCTCTTTTATAAGGAAAGGACATTTTCTGTTAATCATCCTGTTTCATATATAGGGATGGACATGCTCCTCATGTTCTCTTTTCTTTATGTTTCTTTATTATTTTATATTTTTTCCCAAACACTAAATGATCTTCTTTTTCAACTGTAGGTGCACAGGTGGAGCTCACATTGTGCATACCATGATCTTTTACAGATTGGCATTCAACATGGTATTATGTATTTCATATCAGATGTTACCTACTATTCATTTTACCCTGCATTGCTGATTTAGCAACAATTCATGATAAAAGAGAGTAAATACCAGATACAGTTTACAGGGATAGTTAAAAAAAACTGTAGATATGCATTTTGGAGATTATAAAGGTTATACAAGTGCAATATGTAAACTGTACAATGAACAAAAATTATTTTTTTCTTAGCATGAACATCAACTTCTCAGAGTTTGAGTCAGTCTGATGTCATCATTTCACAGACACATCTTGAATGCAAATACTTTTTTAACACATCTGATTTTTTGTGTAAAACAGACATGTAATTTTACTAAAAGCTGTCCACTTAAATGGCTAAGTTGGCCTCTGATTTCTCAACTTTTGCTTTTTCTTCCAACAGCTAGCCATAGAAAGTGTAAGTTGAATTGGAGGCTCCATAAAAATGTGTTGTTATACATACAGCCCAAAAGTTTTATGACTGTATAGGTTTAATGGTGTTTGAATGTGATGTCATATATAGTTTTTTTGCTTGTCTGGAGGAAATATATGTTTTATTTTATATAAGAACAATAAAACTAGTTCACCATTTTTATTAACAAATTTTTTTATAAAATGTTGAAATATTTATGACATTTATATAACTTTACTGTCTTTGCTGAATATTATGCAACTACAAGGATAATGACAATTGTTTTAATTGTAGGTGGCTAAGGCTCTGATAGATAAAGGTGTACCAATCATGGCACGAGATGAACATGATTGCTCTGTGGTTACATATGCAGCTGTAAACTGGAATGACACCTTGTGCCATTTTTTCACCGGTAAGCTGCAGTCTTGAATAAAGTGATCTTTCATGTTAATTAAAAAACTATCTCTTTTTCTCCAGGGAAAAGTACATTATATAGCTTTTTTTGTCCACTGAAAAACAGCTTCCTTTTCAGGGCTGAGACATCTATTCTTGCATCACTACAATATGTCATCAGCCTGGGTATTTTTCATCTTGTCTCTCAGTTGGGCTTTGCTGACTCCCATCTGGCTCCATGCTGTAGAATAGGACACCACACTCCTACTCACTTTCCTTCTCCCCCTGCAAGAATGGTTCTTTCTCTTCTGGAAATATGGACATCACTACGATATGGGTTTCTCTACTGCCATCTTGTACAGAGTTCTGTTTCTTCATGAATGCATTGCTTCAGGATGTGGTGCATATCCCAACAGTCAGGAATTCGATTGTTTATGTATGCACGATAGGGATTCCCTACATTATGTTTAGGGACTCACAGTGCTGGAGTCTGGGGTTCAATTCCCTAGTGTGGACGTGACAGATGGCCCAATACTGCTTTGCTCTAACAACACAAATTTATCTCAGAAAATGTTGCTCCAAAGCAGCCTACCATACTCACATTTAATTTCTATTCACACTCAGAACCAAATGTGTAAATACATGTTATAAATGACATGTAATGACTACTTCCTTTAACTGTTCTAATGATAAAAATGAATACTTTTTTGAATGATTCATACAATCAAAGTTTGAACAAGAGATAGCACTAGTAGTGTTCTTACAAACCCATACTAGTCAGATGATTAGTGTAATATGTATGGTTTTGTTTTCTTGAGATTCATGAAAATATGTTATAATGATATTTTAACACGTCCCTCAGGAGCCGAGGGGTGTCTTTACACTACAATTTGTTGAATATTAAAAGTAAGTTCAATCCGGAAATTCCCAAAGAGGGTGGTTTTGGACGTATCTTTTTGAGACAACTTTGAGCCAAGTTTTCATTTGTTAATTGATCAATTTTTAAGTGAAATACAACATCCTCAAGTCTCCACACTAGCTAGTACTAAGGTCTACCCACTGGAAGTAAATTCAGTATATATAAATAAAACCACATTCTCAGCATCATTAATTAAGCGATTGCCAACCTGTTATGTTTCTGCTATCACCTTTTTATGTTTAGCTTTCAATTGAGATATGAATGATTTCACCTGCAATTTGGTAGGGAAGGTCGAAGCATCACAATGGTCAGCAGTATGATGAGCAGACAGGAACACTTTGAAAGCAGCTACAGGCATAATATTGTACTCGGCTTGCTGCACAATATCTACAATGTTGGTTCTAAATGGTTCCTGAATACACCTGCTTGTTATTTGGAGATTTCCATACTCTTGTGTTTGGCTGTTAAGCTTATGATGCACTAAAGGATTTCAGTCACCATACCACTTCAAATCATTTTTTGCAGCCCCAATGCTAAAAGAGTGTGGGAAAGGCCTTCTTTTTAGCCAATAAAAATGTCCAAAAAATTTCAGTTCAAATTAAGAAAAACCGGATTGGATAGTTTTTGTTTCTTTCAACAAAAATGTCCTCCACTGGCTCGTGAAGGGTCTGTTAAAATAATGTCCCCCACTGGTTCGTGAAGGGTCTGTTAAAATAATGTCCCCCACTGGTTCGTGAAGGGTCTGTTAAAATTTTAGGTGATGCAGAGAGATCTAGAAAAAAGTTTTTTTAATAATCTATATTTTTAATGCTGATGCAGTCTTCCATTTGATCATTTTTGGTATTACATGAAGCATTAAGAGCATCTATAATTAAGCTTATAGTTCTTAAAATATTTTAATTTTATTATTACTTTCAGAAGCAACTTTTTTTTATTCCTGTATTAAAACTAGCTTCTAATTTAAATAAGTGAAATAGAAGTACCTCACACATTAAACCACAAAAAGTGATAAAAATAGCTAAAAATGAAGTTTCAAAAAGAGTATATAAAGTATCACTACATTTCACCATAATAATTTGAAAAATTTATGGTTCAAATTATTTGATAATCATACTGTTTCCTATAGAAAAATAAAATAAGAATACATTGTATGGCTAGTTTTTTCTTTAATATTTTAAGATTGTGAAACTTGTGAGTACTAAAATGTTTTGATGTTTGTACTTTCTGTGAATTTTATATTACTAAATTGTTTATAACATTTAGATGTTATGGGAATAACAGAAGTGATAAAAGCTGATCCAGATAAATCTGAACATACTCCATTTTCTGCTCTTTTCTGGCAATTAGGATCAGAACCTTTCCCAAAAGAAATAAGGTATATGTCTTCTCTGTAAGGAAATCTTTAGGTAATAAGATAAAGTTTAATAACAAAGGCATTTATTCAACTGCTGATAAATGTTTTTTTTTTTTTGGCTACAGATTTGTCATGTATTTCAATGTCAGTTGTAATTTATTCATTCAGTATGCTAAAATTTGAGAAATAGATACAATTTCATAAAGTAAAATCTAATACCAAACACATAAATATTGCATTGTACTTTCCTTAAAATTTAGTGTGTGTGTATATATATATATATTTTTTTTATATTCAGAAACTGGTGCCTAAACCTGATTAAATCTGGTGCATCTCCTAACATCATCACATACTATCCAATTTGGGAGACTCCCTATCCAGGTGTACCATGTTGTACCAAAAATATTATCCACTTACAGGATGACAACTGTTCTAAGTTGTCTCCATTGATGGTGGCAATATTTAAACAAAACTACCAAACTGTCAAGATGTTGATCTCAAATGGAGCAGATGTGAACTTCCCTGATGAGCAGTTGAAAACTCCTCTGATGTTGGCAGTTCGAGTGGTTAGATTTTTTCTTTCATCTGGAAATAGATAATTTTTTGTATCATAATTACTTAAATTATTTGTGTATATTTTAAAAAGGGCAATTATATGCAAATAGTAAAAGAAATTTTGAAAAAAAATATAGATGATGTAGGAATGACAATACTAAAAAGTACAGAAACAAAGTAGGGATGAATACCTGATAACATACAAAAATCCCTACATATGTAGCCATATTTTTCCAAGAAAAACTGTTATCTACTACTAAATCTTCAATTCCTTTCATTTGCATGAATTCAGGTTTGAATAAAATAATTTAAACTGAATAATACTATAAAGTCTTACAAAAAGTCTATAAAGTCCCATAAGTTTGTAACATTAACTCAGTTCTTGTATGAGATGAAAAGTGTTTCCATTTCTAACTCTCAATTACCCATGTTTTGTGTATGCAGAATGATGTGAAGATGGTAAAACTACTTTTGAACAATTCTTATGATCCAGATACAGATTACCATCCACTTTCAGGTGTGTTCTTAGGATGTGTTAATCAGTTTGTTGTTTTTAGGCCTAGTTTTATATAATCTTGTTTCTTTTTAATTTATTCTTATGTTTTAGGTACTTGAATGTTTTAGAATGATAAATTTTTCAAATTTCTTAATAGTTACATAAGCAGTATACCAAAGATGGATCAAAAGATTTATTTCCAAAGATATCTTGTGATAGAATACAGTAGTCCCTCTTAGATATGACCAATCTGTTTGCCATGATGAAAAAGTCATATCTGACAGGAAGTTGTCATTCAAAGGATTAATAACCAGATAATTAATGACCGAGTTCAAGCTGTGCCAATCGATATTGCCAAGGCTTGAGCATAATGGTTTATATACTATATGAGTAATCAGATGACATAGCAAATTGGTATAATAATACATATGATGGATAACAGTTTAATAAAGATAACTTAAAATTGTTTTATGTAAAATATTTTATCTTGGATCAACTTTCCAGAAACAGGACTGTCATTAGCTCTAGTTCTTATCACAACTAATCAAATACTAGCTTGTTAAGTTTGTGATTTGTTTGCGATTTTATGCACTTTGGTGACTGTCATGTTCAAATTAGAACCGCTTTCCCATAACTCCATGATTTTAGTGTTACCTGCAACAATTGTTTGAACTTATGTTTTGCCAACCTGCATTTCAGCAGCAATATGAATACATTTGGCAACCTTTTCATGCTTTTTGATGACTTCAGTCTTTTCTTGGAGTGTGAAGTGTTTAGGTTTTCACTTATCTTGAGACATTGTGAGACAGAATCAATTTTTGTACAAAAATGTAACTTATTCTTTGATATGTGTGATATTTATACAGCAAGCCGATTAACTACTCACCAGGAGAATTACTTACCTACATCTCGCATCATCTGACATCTTGAGAAAACATTCATTCTGACTGCTGATTGACTGGTGAGAGTTTACCCAGCTTGCTTCATGGTCAATTGCACACTACTCGTCAAAACACTCACGTGTAAACTGTTGTAATCAAACACTAATTGCTGTTGAAATTATTAATATTTTCTGATAACATTGAATAATTGAGGTAGAGATATTAACATTTTGAAGGATATTACATAGAATATGAAAATTTCCCAGCCTTTATTTTTATTGTGTGGTGTGGCATCTAATCAGTTACCTATTGTGGGCATCAACAAACTACAGTTAAATCATCACCGATTCAGATTATAGTACATACATGTATACATAAAATCAAATTAATGAACACATAACAAACACAAAATGTTTATACATTTTTATTGAAATCAAGGAAAGGAGAGAGGCCATTATCTGATCTTCTGCCCTAAAATTACAGTTGTATGTTGCTTCTGCCAGGAAGTCATTCGTGGGAGGTCAGATCAATGTAAAATCGTTCTGTGCACAGAAAAAAAGTTGTATCTAAAAGGAAGTCATTATTAGGATGCGTTGTATCTACCAGGGAGTACTGTAATGAACTTATACATGAAGTACTATGTTTTTAATGCATAGTTCGTAATTAAAATAGTTCCTGTTATAGTATATATATATGAATATCAAGTGTTTCAATAAATACTTCATCTGAGATGTTGCCTGATACGTTTTCTGATTCTGTAAATAGCTCCACTCCCTCAGAATATTCAAAATTGTTGATCTTAGTAGTGAATTAAACAAGGCATATTAATCTTGTTTAAAAGCTAAAGCATATCACTTAAAAACATTTTTTAACATTTTAATGAATACAGTTTATGCATTATTAGCAGTTGTACTTAGAAATATTTTTTATTTTAAAATTATTCTTGTACATTTAAATAAAAGGGCAATATATTATATATTTGTGTTCACATTATTTAGATTTCTTCTTTTCTTCTAAGTTTCTCTTTAGAAGTCACCACAAGTAGATTTTTATGCATTTAGTAGTGTTTGTTCTGTTTCAGAATAATTTAAATTATTGATTATATTTACAGTATAAAAGAGGAAACTAATAAAACAGTAAATCTTATTCTTAATGTTTAGGCTCAAGAATTGAGTTTCAGAAAAATAGCTCGGTGGACCTGACTAAACAAGATAAGAATGGGTGGACAGTGATACATCATTTAGTGTGCCCACATCCTAACTTTACATACAGTGATACAACACTCTTGTATTTGCTAGCTAAGGTTGGAGCACCCTTGAACACTCCTGACAACACAGGTCTAACCCCTATACAGCTGGCTGTCAGGCAACAAGCAGAAAACCTTGTGAATGCATTACAGGAGCTTCTGAAGGTTCCTACTGCTGAACAGGTAGAATTGGGTTATGGTAATGATTTATGAAAGCTACCCAAAGTCTCCTCTACCAGTTATGTTACAAAAGTTACTAAAATTCTAGTACTGAACAGATGGAATTAGGATAAGGTAGTGTTTTACAGAAGTTACTGTAAGTCTCTACTACTGGACAGGTTTAGTTGGTGTGTTACAAAGTTACTGAAACTCTACTACTTGACAGGTTTAGCTGGTGTCTTTAAAAAGTTACTGTAACTCTACTACTGGACATGTTTAGCTGGTGTATTAAAAAAGTTACTGTTAGTCTCTACTGCTGGACAGGTTTAGCTGGTGTATTAAAAAAGTTACTGTAACTCGACTACTAGACAGGTTTAGCTGGTGTCTTTAAAAAGTTACTGTAAGTCTACTACTGTACAGATTTAGCTGGTGTACTTAAAAATTACTGTACCTCTTCCAATGGACAGATTTAGTTGGTGTGTTACAAAAGTTACTGTTAGTCTCTACTACTGGACAGTTTTAGTTGGTGTGTTACAAAAGTTACTGTTAGTCTCTACTACTGGACAGTTTTAGTTGGCGTGTTACAAAAGTTACTGTAAGTCTACTACTGGACAGTTTTAGTTGGTGTGTTACAAAAGTTACTGTAAGTGTACTACTGGACAGATTTAGTTGGTGTGTTACAAAAGTTATTGTAAGTCTATTACTGGACAGGTTTAGTTGGTGTGTTACAAAAGTTACTGTAAGTCTACTACTGGACAGGTTTAGTTGGTGTGTTACAAAAGTTACTGTAAGTCTACTACTGGACATGTTTAGCTGGTGTATTAAAAAAGTTACTGTTAGTCTCTACTGCTGGACAGGTTTAGCTGATGTGTTACAGAGGTTATTGTAAGTTTCTAATACTGGATAGGTTTAACTGACATGTTACAGAAATTATTGCGAGTCTCTACTACTGGAGAAGTGTAACTGATGTGTTACAGAAGCTACTGAAGTCTATACTACTGGACAGGTTTAGCTAGTGTGTTACAGAGTTATTGTAAGTCTACTATTGGACAGATTTAGCTGGTGTGTTAAAAAAGGTACTGTAAGTCTATACTATTGGACAGGTTTAGCTAGTGTGTTACAGAGTTTTTGTAAATCTACTATTGGACAGATTTAGCTGGTGTGTTAAAAAAGGTACTGTAAGTCTATACTATTGGACAGGTTTAGCTAGTGTGTTACAGAGTTTTTGTAAGTCTACTATTGGACAGGTTTAGCTGGTGTGTTAAAAAAGGTACTGTAAGTCTATACTATTGGACAGGCTTAGCTAGTGTGTTACAGAGTTATTGTAAGTCCACTAGATAGGTTCAGCTGGTGTGTTACAGAATTTACCAGATATTCCTACTATGAACAAGTTGGGTTAGGTAAGGACATGTTTGGCATATATCACAAGAGCTACTAAGTCTCTGTATGGAATTTCTTGGATTAGGTTTCAGCATTAGCATCAGTGCAACTCACTAGTTAAATCCTTGATACTGAAGGTGTTAAATAAGAGTTATCATGCTTGTGCATTTAGTTGAACATACAAGTCTAAGAATGAGTTTAGGACTGATAATCTTCCTTCAGTAACTTTGAAGTAAAAGTGTTAGTTTATTTTTTGAAGAAATGGTAATCAGAGGTTACAGGCTGTCTATATGAGTATTTTTTTTTCTTAGGAACTTAGAGCATATAGAAAAAAGAATACAAATGTGTACTTAATTGAGTTCTGGTTTATTTTGCAACTAGGTCACTCTGCATTTGAACCCTCCTATAAATATAGATGATGGAATACAATGGGTGTTACCAGGATATTCCTACAAGACTGATTGCAAAGCAATGCTTGAGAAATTGGAAAAGGAAACTAGTATAAAAAGTAATGAAGAGGAACCAAAACCTAATGTTGCTTGTCTCTCTGGCTTATCTGATTCTGGGTATGGTTAAACATTAGTTGTTTTGGAGCTTAGTTCTATCTTGTATGATTGCATTTATTTTGTGCTAAAATGAAAAGAGAGTAGATATATATTTCTTCTGGGTAGTGGTGTTTGAAAGATAAAATTCACTACAGTATTGGTAATATAAAAACATAATGCTGTCTGCTCTTGATAATGGCTTTTGTTTCCATGATAGAAATTATTCTCCTTGTAGAAAAAAAACATTTGAATACTGTTCTCTTGAAAAGTATTAAGGTATTTCAATACTTATATCTTGATAGGTAATAAGACAACTCACATCTGTACACAGATTAGCTATCTCCCTCAGTGGGTATGCTAAAGAGCTTTGCATGCTACTAGCTTTGAGGCAACTCTCACCTAATTTCATATGATTTTATGTGAATTGCACCACAGCAATCTGACATCATCATGTGACAATAGCTCTTCACCAATAGGAGGGCGACTAATTTCCCCTATGCATTTGCACTCGTGAATCTTCATTCATCTCCTCAGCATTGTATTGTACAGATGTGTTTAAGTTTCTCATCTGTGTTCAATTTATTGAGACTTGCATCTTTAACGAAACTTTGATTTTATTTAGCTTTTGTTTTACAAGCTTTAATATTTTATCATGAATTCTCAAATGGCAATGATTTATGCTTGGTCCTCAGTGGGGGATGTTTTTCACACTTAGGCCTTATTTCTGCTGTGGCTTTTGGAGTCTTGTTAACTCTCAGGGTCATTGCAGACATTGTTTAACATGTTGTGGATTACCACATGCTTTATGGGCCTTCTACTTCTGTCTCATTGGCCGAATATCTTTTTCTTCAGCTAGAAATGATCTTTTAGACTATGGTCTTCACCTGACTTCCTTTGGGTAGTACCTTACCTTTTGTGGAATGACCTTAACCTGCAATCTCTTTCTGGTTTTCCTTCTCAGATATGTTCCTTTCCATCTTCATTACTTGTGTTCTATATTATTTTTTTCATTTTCTCACTTTCTGATCGACAGTTCTTTGAGTTTGTCTTGTCTTTTTTCCTTGCTTGTTATGTTTTATACTGTTTCCTATCTAATAGCTCATTTCTCATGCCCTAGTACCTCAACCCCCCCTCAAGTTTGTGACTCAAGTTTTACCAATTACCTGTCATTGGTACCTATCTGGCTAACTTGGGGATCATATTCTTTACCTTCTATTTCACTTTTTAGATCCCTATTTTGGCATTTTTGGTCTTTTTCTCTTTACCATTCTGTATTTCTTCTCATAACTCTACCATTTATCTGATGTACTTCTTAATGCTTCTGATGGCTTCTTTAGACATTTGTTCTATTTTCTGTTTGGCCTCTTCCACTTCTGCTTTATCCATCTGTACTTTGTTCCCCTGCTGTTTCTCTCCTCCTGCTGTTGGTCTCAATTTGTACTGACAGTTGTTTTCTATTTCTCCAACTTAGTCTCTTTTCTTCCCATTTCCATTTCTCTTCCATCCAACCCCATCTGTAGTCTTGTTCACCTGGTTTGCAGTTGGCCATGGGCAATGTGTTAGACACCTTCCTACATGTTTCTGTAGGACTCTCCTCTCTTTGTTTCATCTGTGCTTTCCATCTTTTTTTTGTCTTCCTGCTCCTTGCTCTTTTCTTTAATTAATTATCTGCCCTCATGTATTTGTTCATATCATGAGAACCTTTGCTTGTCATATTCACCACCTGGGACTAGTGTCCCATTTATTTGACTGTTTATCTCTGTTAGCCCATTCTCTGATGTTTCCTCATCTTCTACCTTTCTTCTTTTACAGTGTCTACTCGGTTGGAGAAAAGACTGATCTAGAGATCTAAGTTCTTTTTCATGCCCACTCAGTGTTAAGTACTAATGGGTGTTTTCTTCTTTTCTCATCTCCACTGACTTCAGCCTATCTTCTTCCCCTGTGAGCTGTGACATATCTGGTCACCATGTTTTACACTTCTCATTCTCTACCTGCATGAGAAGTTCTTTTGGTTTTGGGGACTATGGCTTCTCTAGAGCCCTTTATTCCTTTGGAACATGCCCTCATGTATCTCCTACAGTAAACCTTGTGGACTCAAGATTTTCTTTTTTGGAGTCCTTTGTCCTCTTTTGTAAGCCTCTCTTTAAGGAATTGTTATGGTGACTAAACCCTGCTTTCACTACTTCCTACATTACCTTAACACCTCTCTAGCCAGATCTTTCCCTTCTTCAATTCTTCTCCTTCTGATTGAAATACCTTTTTCAATTAGGACAGAACTTTTGACATTTGGATTCTGAGGAAGAGTTCAGTCCACATCATCCTGCTTGATCTTCTCGCTCTTTGTCGAGCATGTTCCCATTCCTACCCCTTCTTATGGTTCACTTGGTCATGTTCCACTCAACCTATTCTACAGTCTTTTCCTACCACAACCATATTTGTGGCTTCTGTTCCATGGCCTTTTTTGTTTCAGGTGTTAACCATACACTTCCTAGCCTGTTTATATCCTTTGCTAGAAGCTTCAGTCTTGGTGGCATACTGCCTCATTTGGGTAGTCCATATCCTATCAAAATAGTAGTCTCTACACCCTCAGATCTGTGGGGTTTACCCTTGGTTGTACATGTCCATCTTAAACGATTTTGCCACTTATCTCAACTCTAGGCTTCCTCGCTTATGGTACTCTATTCCTCATCCTTAGGCTCTGACTGTTTATTTCTCAGTCAGGATTGGTTTTACCTTTTTCTTTGTAAGTACTACTATATTCGTCTTTTTCTTGTGGACCTCAGATATACATGCTACCCTCTTTCTTAGGCCCTATTGTTGGTTCCTCTTTGACCACCTCAGCCATGGCCCATTTGATATTCAGACCTCCCTCTTCTCATTATCCTCCCTTTCTCTTGTTTCTCATTCTCGTATTCTCCCTCATGCATGCAATTTGCCCAAAGTGTTGTCTATCGGGTCAGACTTTCCACTAATGTGGCATTATTCTTATCACATTCTTTTCATAATTCCACTGTATTTGTCCATCACCATCTGTAGTAGGTCTTTTTTCATAGGTCCTTCTGCCACCCCTTTTCTTCTGGCAATAAATCTGTACACCACCTTTCTGCCTTTCATACCCACCTGTTCACTGATGGATTCTTGGTCTCAGCACTTCCTAGTTGTTAGGTGGCCCTGTCCATGGCCTATCTCCATTCTCAGTACCAAGAGAGGTTTTTTTTCCCTGTCTTCTCTTTTCTGTTCCACTAGTTCATTCTCCTCAGTCCTCCTAACCCAACTTCCTTGCCTGACTGAGATCTTAATGAGGTTTTGCATGATCTCTGGAATGCCCCATTTGAGCAGTTGACTTCCTGGCTTTTGTACCTTCTTTCTCTCCTAACTTGTTTCCTTCTACTTCTCTTCTATGACTACTGTTGTTCCGGTGTCTTTCCTTTAAATACTTCTCATTTCCTCTCCCTGGACATATCCTTTTTTCCCTCAGACTTCCACCACTTGGGAGGTACACTGTACTTCTCCCTTATCTACCTTTCTTCTGTCTCTCACCTATTGGACCATTTGCAATGTCCTGTTTGGCTGCTCGGTGGCTTTATCACAGTTCTCACCTTTTAGTGGTTGCTGCCTTTATCTGTCCCCATCCTGGGACCCCTCTTTTTTCCATAGACCTCTTTCCTTCTTCTCAAGCAGATGGTTCCATCAACTCCTTCATTGACATGTTCATCTCAGGATGTTCACAGACTACTTGCCTATTCATTGCATTTGATTCTTCACCTTTTTCTTTCTCTCATATCTATTCTTCAGTGGTCCTTGAACAAATTCCTTCAGGTGGACATGTGCAATCTCCACACATTCATCTTCTTCTCTACTCCTTATGGTTGATTTATCTCATGATGGTTTTCGGCTTCCACTGGTCACCATTCTTCAGTTACCTCGCTGTCTGTGAGAAGGATATTTACTATTTTTCCATTGTTTGCTCTGGCTCAACATGTACCTGTTATGAGATTGTGTTTCACAAGACCACTTAAGATATCCTCATTGTATACGTCTATCAATATTCACTCTATTGTTCTGTCCAGACTGTACCCATTCCATGACTCTCATGGAAAAAGCCATCACCAGGGAGACATTCTGCCCACTTTTCTTGCTTGTGCTTGCTGGTTTTTAGAAATAGGGCTTCACGGTCGCCCTATGCATTGTCTCCAGTAAAAAATCTTTCCAGACTGAAGAACCATCAAGTGGGAGCACAAGAGACTATTGCCACCAGTTCCTAGCTGCTAGGAGTGGTGATCCATAGAGAACCCTCATCAATTAGACTCAATCACTGGGGCTAGAACAAGGAGTACCAATAAAGTGAGAAGTGAGGTGGTGGTGATACCATTAGTGTAGTGCAGATCACCCCTCAAATAAATCAGATACATCACTCATGCCTTCCTCCTGCATTCTGAGACTGTCCAGTAGATGTGAGGGAAGCAAACAATAAATATGGACTAATATTGCATAATACAGTGCCCTCCTCCTGTAGGTAGAATCTGTTCCATAGTATATGTTCACTCATTTGGGCACTCACTATACAATGTCAATATATATGTATATCTCAGATGTCCTTATTCTGCAGTTTATGTCTTTTTCAGTAGAGTCAGGGTGACTACACTCTATAATGGTCCTTAGCACCTGACTAATAAGCCCTCATCCAATAGCTAGTGTAAGTCCCATAGAGTCTGATGGTAGAGTTGAGACAAGCACTCTATGCATATCTTTAATGTATCTCTAACATATTCTCTTCCTGCAGCTGGGGGTTAGTCCCGTAGAGTATAATGGTAAAGGTGAAGTGAGAACAGATACTTATCACACATTTCCTCTTCCCACAGCTGATGTTAGTCCCATAGTTTCTGATGGTAGAGTTTAGGTGAGCACACAAGGTACAATTTGAACACACCCCAATCTCATTAAACATATTATCTGTCCAACAATTTGTGTGCAACTTGAATAGTCATGTTCTAGTTACACCCATTCCTGCAACACAAATTTGACTTCTATGCTTCTTCCCTTTTCCCATAAGAGTGAAGAGTATACCCTGGATGAGATAAGATGTGCTTGTATGAAGCCATTGACATCAGATATCACAGCTATTGGGCACTTTCCAAAAGGTGCTCATCTAGGTAAACTTTTTACAGGTCCCTCCACCATATCATTGTGAGATTCTAGCTTATCTGTGTGAAGAAGTGTTATCATCTTGGAAGTTAACATTTTCCTTATCCAAAAATGTATTTCCAATAGATACCTCCATGTACATTCCCACTCATCTTTCCCCTATTCCTGTGCACATTTTCTTACTTGTTTTATCAATATTCACAAGTGTAACTGCATAGGGGGAGTTTGTGTGCACGGTGGTGTGTTTTGCCTTCCTATTGGTGAAGGGCTTTTGTCCCATTGATAATGTCATCATGCAATGGTACAATTCACATAAAATCATGTGAAATTAAGTGGAACTTGCCTCAAGATAGTGGGAGGCAAATCTCTTTGGCAGACATGCTGAGGAAGATAGCAAATCTGAGTGTAGAGATATCTATCAGAAATACATTTTCAGTTAACCCATTTGACACAGGTACCCCTTTAAACACTTTATGTGCATGTCACTTTGTTATATTCTAAATTTAATTAAACACCTTTACTATCAATGTATGTTATGACTCAGAGTTTTATGTTATCTAAGTTTTAAGTTCTTTATTTTAAAAGAAACCTTTAAAAACTACCTAAAACTTCAGATATTTTGTCATGTGACCCATGAGCTATGAAAATTCTCCACTTTGGCACTCCATATCTTCAGTAATATAATGCCAGTTGTGTAGATGTATGTTTAGACAATAAGATGTGTATTTAACCTATTAACACACATTTCAAAGTTCCCTGGATGAATGCAATTGAAATAATTAATTTAATTTTTTAACTCCTGACTGGTGCCGTGCCCTCCTTCAATAAATTTATTTGAACTTTATAGCTTACATTTAGAGGTTACATACACATGTATATAGTGTTTAGAAAAAGCTCATTTTGCACTATAACTCTTTCAGCACGGGCTCAGTACGTGGGACAGACCTTGTAACCATTTTGTGCTTGTTATAGTTTTCCTGCTAACTTTTGAATTAGAAGTGTATCTTCACATAATTTTTCAGATTATCAGTAAACATTACAAGGTTTACGTATGCAAAATATAATATTTTTTAAGTATTATTTTTTTCTTGCCTTTTTTTCTTTTGGAATGCTTACTATCCAACATGCAAGTATTAGGTTGTCAAAAAATTAATGTCGGTTTTTTTAGATGAAAAAACCCAAATAACTTGTATATCAAAACAAAACATTTATTAAATGAAATAGTCTCCATTCTTATCGATGATGCTTTTCCATCTTACAATCAGGTTGTTAAAGCATTGATTATAAAAATCACTTGGCTTTGAAGCAAAAAACATGTCAATGCCCTCTTTAACACCTTCCACATTTGTGTATGTTTTCCCATTAAGATGGTGTTGCAGCGAAGGAAAAAGAAAGTAATCTGATGGTGCCATGTCTGGAGAATATAGTGGGTGGGGGAGAAGTTTCCAACCCAACTTCATAATCTCGTGTTGCGTCAAACGTGCCACATGTGGACGTTATTGTCGTGGAGAATAAGAACACCTTTCTAATTGATGAGCATTTCTTATAAAGGGCTTGATTTAAATGTTCAATTTGCTGACTATAGATCTCTGCATTGAGAGTTTGCTGTGGATTGAGGAGTTTGAAATGAATTATTTCTTTGATGTCCCACCAAATGCAAAGCATCACTTTCTGCAGATGGAGTTCAGGTTTTGGGGTAGGAAGTGGTTTTTGTCTAGGACTGTGCCATTGTTTTTGGCATTTAATATTTTCATATAGTATCCATTTTTCATCACCGGTGACAATTCTGTTCAAAAATGGTTCACGTGCATTCTGCACCAGCAGAGATGAAGCAATGTTCACACATTGGAAATGATGATCATAGGAGAGTTCATGAGGCATCCAAACATTTTTGTGGAGTTTTCCCATATTCCTTAGATGTTTACATATTGTTTCATGAGAAACATGCATTTTCTGGGCCATTTCACGAGTGTGTTACCTTGGGTTAGACTCAACAAGTGTCTTCAGAGCATCAATATCAATTCCAACATGTAGACCCCAGCCAGTACAGTTTTTAAAACTAGTCACCTGAACGAAATTTGCTGAACCGTCGCTGACACTTACGAACGTTCAAAACATTTCCATTAAACTTCTTTAGATATTCTTTGT